TCGAGGGTGATGGATGAATTTAATACCTGAGATAAGTGTACGGGTTTTTATAGGCGCAGTCTTGAAACTTTCTGATCACACCTCGTATGATGCATTTCCTATTCAGAATGGCCTTAAACAAGATGCTTTGTCTTTACTTTTTAACCTTTTTTTTAAGAATACACGTAAGTAGGTCCAAGAAAATCATGAAGGATTTAACATGTCCAACAACAAATGTAATTCAGTAACTTAAAAAATATACCTAACCCAATTTTATTTCCTTCACATCAGATATAAAATTAATACCGCCGTGGCTCAGTAAGTAGGGCCTCATTTTGATAATGGGGTACACCATGTGAAAGTATGATTGGCATACAGCTGAGAGAGGCTCTGTCGGACACCCACTAGAAGATTTTCTTTGAGTCTGACATTATTTTATGAATCAGTCGAGACCACCTCTGCGCAAGCATAACTTTTACCTTAGATGTTAGATTGATACAGTTGTCATCCTCCAGAATATCCCTCACATGTGATGGTACCAATGTTGATTTTACACTACTGGTAACTGCTTTTATTGCTTCTTCAAAATTTTCTTCAGCTTCTGGATTTCCATGTTCATCAACATATATACCTATTGAACAAATGTTCAGATATCATTAAAATACCAGAAACTATACCACAAATATTTCACACCGAAGAAAAACCTATAAACTAACTAATTCCCTGGTAGCAGAACCAGCAGGTTCAACATCAAAGCCCGTCACCGACCATGATCCCGAGTCAACTCTGTCCATTTGCCATCCTCACGGCCCACCTTCTTAAGATCTATCTTTGATGTTATCCTCCAACAGTATTCTAAACTTTGACTGAAGGAAATAAAAAATGCATATATCTTGTTAAAATACCTTTAGGAAAGAAACCACGTGAGTCTTAGGCACAGATGAGAGGGTAATATTACAAGATTTGAAAGTTATACTCTTTGGAGTACACAAATTGTAAAGGCATTCTACACCCCGCATCATGGATGGTGACTTTAGCAGGTTGTTTCACTGATGATAATGGCTCAAAGGAACTGTGAACTTACATCGTAAAGTCTGTAAGAATGATACAAATATGCATTTTTCCAATCCTGTTTGGTAATTTGAAAATAGTATAAACAAGGTTCATTAGATATTTGTAAAATACAAAATTTACAGATGTTCATTCAAAGTGGCACACTCATGTTATAATACGATATGCAAACGCACCCTTTCGAATCATGGATCTGAAAACTTCCTTTTCTTTGTAATTTTTCGGAAGCTGCCCATCATGTTCAACTTTCCACTGCTGCAAATATTTATAGAGAATTATGAGGTTTGGTACATGAGCATGATCCTTGTACTCCATTGCTTCCAGGTCTATGGAGTTAACATACTTCTTGAGACTTGGAAATGGTTTATCAAGACGCAAGTCAGGTATCTGATCATCCGGATGAGTTTCAATTATTGTATGCTCTACCACCTGCACTCTGATGTAACCAATGAAGCCATAACTGCGACACACAATGAATGGGATTTCCAGATCCCACAACTTCTTGGAAAGAGGAACCAAAGTTCTGTAATAAATACATGATAATATTTTAACAGATAGGAAATCTTAAATTTCCTCCCACATTGAGGAAGAGACATACTGCTTGTTAATATATTATTTTACTCCTTAACCAGTTTGGTTCTAAACTTTTCATATAAAGTACCATGCTTATTGAAAAGCTTTGTCTTCAAATTGCTATCTTCTGGGTAGTTGCACTGTGTAGCCTTCTGGTTCCATAGCAACGTTACTGCCTCCTCCTTCATGTGGTGAAAAAACACAGACCTCAATCTAAACAAATACTGCCAAAAAAATCTCAATACCTACAAGTTCAGTTCTTGTGTATTTCCACACCAACTTACTTCTGTTCTATTAAAAATCAACATAAAGAGTGCCAGAGAGGTGAACAGTTTCTGAGCTGCACCACTCACAGCTGTATAAAACATCACTATGTGGATTTCAGTGGGAACCCGCCCTTCACGTTGAGCAGTTTCACTACTTGGGGAAGGTGTTTCTTTAGCTGTACTAAAGACAAATTAGTAAATGGAGCAATTCTGGAGAGTCTGTGCCTATAGGCAATCTTCTCTTCTTGCCTGCATGCTTCCATGATGTGAATGTTCTGATCAGTTGTCACAAAAATTAATTTATATAAGTCAGTTACCTGTTCCCATGTGCAGTGCATAATGGTCCACTTATCATGCTGCACAGAATGAAAATGTTCACAATGCATACTTCTGTTATGAAATTAAAGACTTCCACAACATTATTATTGATCTTCCAACACTAATATTCCATTAAACAGCAGTTCCACCAATTATTAAAAAATGTGTGTCTGTCATACAGAGTTTCAACTAAATGGTTATGTAGTTTGGGCAACCTTAGTTGCAGATGAACAGACATGAAACTAATACAAGAAATGAAAGATGCCTAAAAATTTACAATGCAAGAGTAGGCACTCACCTTTCAGTCAGTGATGTTCCAATGACAACTGAGAAGTTGTTGAAGAAGTCAGGGTTGTTTTCCAGCAACTGGTCTATGTTCTCATCCACATAGTCACCTCGAACATCAGGGTTCAATTCCAAAAGTAACCGAGTAGCAACTTGAGCTCTAGACTTGCCACAGCTTTCTGTATCCAAGAAGAAACTGTCAGGAACAAGAGGAATACAATCAGTAAAACTGAAATTAATGGGAATTATGGAAACAAGATAGTGCAGAATTAGGAGAACTTATGGCTACCTCAAATTCACAGTTCATAATGCCTTTAATAGTACAAAATGGCAGTCAATCAGATAAAAAAGTGTGGAAATCACAAGAAAATATTAATCTAATATCAGGTAAAATTTGTAAACTATTATTTACCTTAGTTTTACAATAAACAGACCTGTGCACACCCTACTGAGAGATTTTACACATCAATGCAAATGACAAACTTCAGGAAGATATACTGATCTTAACTGCTTTAACATGATATTCAGCATGTGCAAGTACATATCTAAGTTCCTAGTATAACCAATGCCCCTCCAACTGACTTATGAAGCCTGCTTTGTCATTCAAGTGTTTTTACATATATTGGAAATCCAGCAAACTTTTCTATTAAAAAATCATAATTTTGTAATACTATTATATAAAAGAAATACTTGAGCAACAAATATAAAACTTGAAGTTCTGCTACACTCATGTGCATATAACTAAAACTGTTATGTTTGAGACTTGGTCTACTTTACTTCTGAACCACCAATATGTATATGAATGTTGACGGCTGCATAAAGAATAAACTCTGTGAGGAAACAAAGACATGGTGATGTTATATTGGCAACTCTGGCAATAACAAAAACAAGTACATTATGTCATCAAGTATACTTTCACGCTGAAAAATTACATATCTGACCACTTGTCAGAGATCATCTTCGATTATGATAGGATTAGATACAGAGGGGCCAATAGAAACAGGATGTATTCTACCACCTCATGTAGCACCACTTATTTCAGCATAATCAGGAAAGGAAGGGAGAATTAAAGCAATACAAAGCCTTCCAGTATATCTATTCTACTTTGTGTTGATAATCATATCACAGATATGCATATTAAATTGGATTTTTACAGTCCCAATTTTGTAGAAAATCTTATTACATCTGTTGGAACTGTCAAACGAAATCAGCATGGCTGTTTCAACTAACTTGCATCCAATATCTTCCTCTGTAACTTTCTTCCCATCAACAACTGTGAAGGCCCCAATTCCTGGTAACACAAGTGACTTTAAGATTTCCGTGCCTATACCAGTCGCGTTGATAAGACATACTTGTGCTGACTCCAATGCAGATTGTCCATTGTCTCCCCAAAGTCTGAAAAATATAATTACAGTCATTAATAACAAAAAAGACAAGTTGTCATACCTAACCTCACACGTCTTCGTGTTATATACATATATTATTTTCAACTATACTACAGATTTAAAACTTTTTTTTAAGATACAAGAAATTACAAGAGAGCCACAAACCTGAGCTGTCTATCATATTTCTTGCTCTTTTCAGATTGCTCCGGTGATTTAGGCGCCGGAGACGACATGTTTTTTGACAACTGAACATCTGTCAGTTATTGAAAATCATGTAGATTATTCAAGCCTTTCCCGTACAGAAAATGTACCATAGTGGCAACCACAGACCTGAAACCAATTTCCACTCTGTGGACAAGATGTCTGAGATAAATAAATACACTGATAAGATCGTGTGAAAAAAAAAACATTTAAAAATAATATGTCCACTATTTAGGTACCTACGGCTAATGCTAATAAATACTTTCGGAATAAAGAGTCTCTAGGACAAATCATAAAATAAAAGTGAGGACAACGTTTATGAAATTAGCTCCAATAGCTTATGCACCTAACTATCATAGATTACCTACCAAACCGTAGATTTCGAGCATACAAACGTGTGACTGTATTACAAATTGGTATCGTGTGTATTGTGAAATTTGATATTCAAATGACGAGGAATATTAAGATCAAGGTATTCTTGGCGTGTTGTCTTCTAAACGCGTATTGACAAGTCAGGGTGATTGTTCTCCCATCTATCGATCGTCTAGAAACAACACGACTGAGTCGACCTGCTGGTGGCAGAGTCGGTAAAACAGTTGCTAATCAACCAATTCGGTTTCTTGTGCAATCGTTGACAAGATTTTTGTTTCAATTATGTTTAATAATGTGAAATGTGGAAGAAATTGGATGAGGGGTGAAAGGATGCAGGCCGGATTTATCCGGTTCACCATCTGGTCCAGTAGTAGGCTCTTGAGAACACAGTTATGAAATTGTCCATAAAAGCAGGGACTCTGCTATCTGAGCAACAGTTTAACCTCTCTACACCATGGAGTTAGTTTACTGATGCGATTCTAGTCACGGCATTGTCAACCTTTTCCAGACCTAAGGCCACATTTGCCCTTGTGACTTTTTTTTTCATCGTCTATGGTCAGCTTGACCGTTGTGACCCCTTTCGCGGTTTTCTTGCGAAAGTACCATGGTGGTTTCGCCTTGCCTTCCGTGGCCAGTCTTACCCACCAGACTGGAAGAGGAGACGCGAACAAACATCCATGCCTTCAGTGGGACTCGAACCCACGGTCGCAGCGGCCAGACGCACGAGGACCATGCCTCAGACAGTGTCGCCACTGCGCCGTCTCCTTGTTACTCCTGGTCCACGAAAGGTAATAAATTCTCTTGTAGCAAAATATAGGCAGATTATCAAGGATTTGACAATTTGCAAATGGTGCCAGTGGCATCTGTCAGGGATCCTCAATGGAATTGTGTGGGTGACTGTCTGGCTTGGTGATGGTCATCATGGTGAATTTCTCTATAGAGTTGCCTGGGTACATCTGTCTGAGAAATTCTCTACTAGGTCACTTAATGCATAAATGCATGTGTCTTCATGTAAAGTTCCTGTTATCATTGTTTTATTTAAAACTGGAATATTTTGAAAACTTTTAGTAAAAATCTCAGTATCAGACTTCATGAAAATTGAGGTGTTACATGGTGAAGCATACTTTTACACCTTCTAGTTCTTCTCAGGGGAATCCCTATATAACATCTCGTAACCAGACAGGCACCCACGCAGTTTTGAGACTCTCGACATCTGATCTCACTGATGCCATTAAAAAAGGGCAGATCTTTGTAAATGCACATACATTTCCTGCATTATGTTTCCTTCATATATTTATGAGTAATGAACATGTTTTTGAATACAGTTACTAACTGTATTAATCAACAATTTTTCATTCAGTTATACATATATCAAGAGATATGGTTTGCAATGGTGTTCTTTAAGAGTCTAAAAATGAATAAACACTAGAAACAAGTTTTGTTTAAATTCATTAGTACATTCAAAATATTTTGGGTTGGATACATTTTTATTATTCATACATTTCCTATGTACCGCCTGATTGCAGTTTTGTTTTGATACCAATGTATATTTTTTTCCTCTTAAGATATCATCTTAAGAAAGAATCTCACATTCCTCTCTGTGATCAATTTACTATGAAACAGAAACTTTAAAGCTGTCATATTTTGTGCCAATTCCAATAATGTGTGCATTCTCTGACGAATATAAACTCAAACAAGCAATTCTCTTCTTCCATGCCTAGTGTTTTCATCTTTTTATTTTAAAATGTCATCAATTTCAATACAGCCCATATCAAGTTTCTTCATGGCCCTCTGCTTCATTTATTATGATTCTGAGGCTTGAAAGAAATAATGACTGATTACTTCACCAGTATGTCATAGTTGGCATTGCCAGATTTGTAACTGTTGAAAAACTGGACATGGATTTCTGGTTTAATATAAGTGACTTTCACTGCATCATCTTCCTTCATTGTTTCTTTCCATTCTTTCTGAAACAAAAACCAATGGCCAATGATAATCAGTTTGAACAACAAATCATTTTTGGATTATTTAACATTTTTTTCAACTGTATAGATTTTAGGGCATTGAACAGCAGGTCTGTTGTGAATGATGAGTTGGAATTAATATGCTAGGAAGCAGTCATCCAGTTTCAGATACTGCCACATTTGTCTGGACATTAAATGAGTCATTGATATTGTAGTTTTAATTTTCCTAAATTGTGGGAATTTTTCCCAAACGTATTGAGCATTCACACAGAGTAACAAATCTAATAAATCATTAATGGCATTGTTGCAAATGAAGTTTGTGTCAGATTTTAGGTAACATGGAAATGAATGAGAGAGAAAGGATTAAATTACCAGTTTCTTGTACCGCTCACTGGGTATAACAAATTTCTCTGGTGCCACAATTTTGAAAGCATCGATTCTCTCAAACCATGGCCATATCACATAATCTAGCATTCCTGGTACATCACCTGCAATTGTAAACAGAACATTCCTGTTATGGAAATATTTGACCTGAGAAGCAGCAGCCTGAATAACTATCACTGTACTTATATAGTGGTGACATTATTGCACAGCAAACTGGAATTTACAGGCCAAAGTTATGATGTATTCCATAAGCATCTAAGAGATACTAAACTATTCATGAAATTCCCTACTATGAAAGGCAAAGGTTCTTCACTAACTCCATGGGACAGCCTTCCTGAGAAGATAATAGTTTCTTAGAAAGTTAAGAAATTCCCTGTTTTGTATGGAACCCAAGAGCTGCCATTGGTTCCTGCCCTGAGCCACATGAATTTAGTCCACACCCTTTCATCCTATTTCTTTTAAGATACATTTTAATATTATCATTACATTCATGCTTATGTCTTCAAATGGTCTTCCTTCTTTAGATTTTCTGATGAGATTCTGCACACATTTCTGATCTCTTCCATGTGTGCAATAAATTCTGCCAATCTTATCCTCCTTGACTTAATCTTCCTAATAATATTTGGTGGATAGAGGAACAGCCTCCAGTTATGGAGGTTAGCTGTGAATATATTGAATAAGCAGTTGTCGACAGCCCGCAGGAGTGGCCCTCCAGCTTGGAGGTTGGGTGTGAGGCTAACAACCTTTCACCATAAAAAACAGCATCATTACAAACAAATTAACTAAGCCTCAGACCAGGACAGACTCTTTGGCACGACCATGGCAATCATAAAAGGGTATGAGATTTGGAATGTGGAATGTTTGGAGTCTCTATATGGCTGGGGCACTGAAATCAGTGAGTAGGGAATTAGAGAATTATAAGCTGTATTTAGTGGCAGTGCAGGAGATGCGATGGGAAGGGGAGGGAGTGATCCCATTGGAAAATTTCACATTTTTCTATGGAAGGTGGAATGACAATCATCTGTTAGGGACAGCATAATCTCAGGCGGGATCTGTTGGAGACAGGAGTTGAAGGAGACTGGATTTTGTTGGCCCAGAACAGGGTCCAGTGTAGGGCTTTAGTTAATTCAGTGATGAATCTTTGGGTTCCGTAAACCATCTAGTTAGTTAATATTATTTGGTGAAAGTTCAAATTATAAAGCTCACATTATGAATCTTTTTCTATCCTTCTATCCATCCCTTTATTTTAGGTCTAAATATTCTCTTTAGCACCTTGTTTTCAAACAGCCTCAGTCTCTGAGATTTGAGGTTTCCGTGCTGGTGGATATGTCAGTTGTGTGGTTTGCTTGGTTGTGATACAATGTAGTTATTATAGGTGGCTACCAATGTTTTGGAGCAACATACTGTTTCCATTGGTGGTACTCTGAAGACCACAATCCATACTCTCAATCTATGTTTTTTCCATACTTTGAGAGACTGAGTTTCACACCAGCACAAAACAATAGGTAGAATTATGGTTCTGTTTAATCTTTATTGTTTTATATTAAGATAGGAAGATGAAAGATTCTGAACTGAATGGTAGGCAGCACTCTCCACATTTAATCTGATATGAATTTCCTTGTGAATGTAAATGTAATTTGTTTTATCTTTTCCAAATATTTTAAATTTCCCACATTTTTAGTGTTTATTTGCTACCTTATATTATGATTTTGTCCAGTAGTCTGGCAAGACATGACTATATAAAGAACTTACTATTGCTCTGCATTTACTTCTAGAGCAAACTCCTTACTAGTGTGCAATAAATCTTGTGTATTTTTCTTTATATTATTTATATTTTTAAATAATAAATTAACATAATTAGCATAGGAGGATTCATCACTATTATTACAGTCTCATTCTTCATTTGCTTAGCTACTATAGATTTCAGTCTGCATTTGAAATTTTGGAATACGCATCTTCACTGTTCTGAATCCCTGGGAATCCCCACATTTATCCAGTGACATCCTTACCTCCAAAGAAACGTGTGGCTCTCAGTGTTAACTCCTTCTCAAATAAATCCAGGTCTGTCAGAATATCATCCAAGGGATCTATGTCTGAACCATGGAAAAGTTTGTATACGTTTGTAGGTATCTATGTAATGAAATAAAAATTGATATTATTATATCCAGACCATACAATTTTCCATATGCAGGATATACAAAAATTGTTTCAGAATATTTTCTAATTACTCTCATGAAATCAAAACCTTAAGCTAGAATTTTGAAAGCTGTTTTACAAAACATGTCAAATTTATATGTCAGTGGCAGTATGTAATGGAGCTTCTTGCGTGGGTATCATGTTTTTGATGTTACTGTTAGAAAATTAAAAAGTAAAATGGTGAAGTGGTCTCAGATGGTATGATATTCATAATACCATATTTCCTGAAAACTGGTTAAATGGTTGTAAATTTATAAGGCAGAAACAACAAGAACAGTATCCTTACAAATTGGGCATGGATTAGTGAAAGAACTATATGCTCTTAAAGAGAGTGTAAGACATGGCTTTGTGACAGCATGAAAAGAAAAACATGACAATTCTGTGTACTGTTCCAATAAATGGTCTACTGTGGGTCATGTTTTGCTCTTCATTAGCTCTCTTTCAGAATTCTTACCTATGTAAAAGTCAGTCTTTTAAAAATTTTAAGTCTACTAGCTAAATGTCTTCAATCTTTAGACCCGTCACTTCATGCAAAATGTCACATCATTTGTTTCAGTAACAAAGACAAACCTTACTTAGGTGGTTTAAAGCAAAATGAGTATACACTGTTTACTTTGTTTAAATCCTACTTGAACATTGGATTATAAAACCTTTATCTTATCTTTTGTTAGCTAATATGACACAGTCCTTTTCAGTCTCGCTTTTAAGAAAATATGGCAACATGCATAAATGTAACCATTTAATGGGATGTTAAAGCTGTTATTGATGTCAGTATTAATGTCACTTCTGACTCTGTTTACCTATTATGAACAAGTTTTATCATGCATTACTTAACAGCATGTATGACTTGATTATGCCATCACAGTGGCCACATGGTCTGAGGCGTGGGCCTTGTGCCGCTTGGTCACTGGGACCATGGGTTTGAATCCGACTCAAGGCATAGATGTTTGTCCGCGTCTTTCTGTGTTTTTCTGTCCCATGTACAGGTAGACGCCTCATTCATCCAAGGAGTCCTATCTATTGTCTAATAGATCAAAGCCAACGAAAGTTGGGACCCGCAGGTGCTCAAGGCACTGAATAATGGGTCGCTCAAGTAAGTATGACTTGATTATATCCTACAGGCACAATACTTGCATTAGGGAAATTATTTCTACAGGTGACATTAACAACAACAGCAGGAACAAAACAAAACAACAACAATACCCACTTTACTGAAGTGTTCCACCAAGATTCTGTCTTTTGCTTTCTGTATAGGATCTTTAGGATGCAATAGTCTTTGTGGGTATTTCTCATCAAGGTAGTCTGCAATTATCAGACTCTCGTAGATACAGTCTCCTGATTCCATTTCTATAGCTGGAACTTTTCCCAGTGGATTCCTTTCAAAATACCAGTCTGGTTTGTCTGACAGTTTAATGTTTACAACATCGTGGCTGAAAAGTAAATTATCAGCTTTATTAGGTCTTTATTTGAAAGACAGCTTATAAAGATACCCTATTAAACTGAATTATCTCTTTGTATTAAATATGTACACTGTTTCTTGAACTGGCTCTACTTTTGCCTCTGTGTAATTTGTTTTCATATCACTAATGCATTAATTTATTGCTTTTTCGGTATAATATTAATATCGTGTGCATGTCATGTTCATAGAGTTTCAGAATCTTATCTTTTTATTATTATTTAAGTATGCTGGGTAGTGATAATGTTCCACAAATTTCATAATAATGATAATCTGTGCCATAAGAGCCCTCTGAGAGCCAAAGCCGACTAGCTTGACTGCTGGCCTCGCGTTCACATGCCTAAGCAGAGGTGAACGATCATCCAACCAGATATAGGGTGACGTGTGGTCAGCACAACGAACCCCCAGCCATTGCTAGTTTCCATGACTGGATTACGCTACTCATTGTAGCTCCCCAATTTCCTCACAATGCTGGGTTGGCACCGGTCCCATAAAAATGTTAATCACTGTACTTAATAGGGATCCAAATTTGATTACACGTCTTCCAAATTTGTTAACCGTGATTCTGCTTACCTCATTTGACTTGATGTTTAATTTATTGGGGCAGACTCATTGGCACACACCAAATATACCACACATCATAACCATTAAATATATTTTCTCTTTTATTTCACTAAATATGCATCTTAAGGAAAAGAATGTTTCAAATGGAAATTGCAGATTGTAGGAAGATTGATATTTTATGTTGTTTACTGGTTTGTTGTATGATAAGCAATTTTTAAGAAAAACAATAGATTCTGACATGAGCATCATGTAAAGCAGTTTTGTATGGCTAGATTTGGACTGAGATTAAATCCATACCACAGTTTTAGGGATGATACATGCATATGGATGAGCATCTTTCTGTTTATGCAAGCAACTCAGGACATAATATTTTTCTTTGTTACTTACGGTATCTTCTTTGCATCAAGCACCAAATGTGCTCTTTGAGCATAAGGGCAGAACCTCATACTGTACAACCTTAACTTCCCTTTTGATAAGGGAGGATTTGTGGAGCCTGTGGGGGGAAAAATCCAATTACAATATGAGACACACATTTAATCAGTATTTGAGTTCTGGACCCCCAGCTGTGAAAAACATTTTTTTTTTTGCCTTGACCGAATATAAAATACTGCCAATCAAGTCTTTCTAGCTTGCTGTTGTTGTAATAGTAATAACAGTAGCAGCAGCAGCAACAACAACAAGAATAACGGTAATAATGTCAAGCAGTTGTGATGGGTTTGATAGGTAGAATGAAGAAAGCAAGAAATTCTCACAGAATTTTGATGGGTAACGTAGAATGCGAGTAAGCAAAAGGTGTATGACATATAATATTACAGTTGCTTTTTATGAAACACGTCATTATATGAATTGTATTGAACTGGCTCGTTGACCGATTCACTGTATGCAAGTGGCAGGTCATCTTCACGCTTTGGCCATATTTACTACGTCACGCCGACATTAGAAACAGAAATTAAAATATGTTTTATGGCACTATTTAGAGGCCAAAGTTGCTTTTAACATAGTATAGGAAGGCCAACTAAATATTTTCTAACTTTCCTATTTTAATATTTATATCCATATAAAATTCGAGCTCATTACATAGAATTCGTATGATACACAATACAAAATTTCAGACTGCTCGTCCAAAACGAAACTGTGTACAAAATTAAAGTTTTTATAGTATTTAAAGATTTTAATAAAAAAAAATCATTGCCTCAAACTAAAGAAATAACGTAATTACATACATTTACGAAAAAATTATGAGTAAAGTATTAGTCGAATATGTGTTATAACAACAAAACAGAGATCTCACAGCAGCGTATAAGTATGTGGAAAATAAGGTGAGTAAATGTGTCGGTGCTTCGACACAAAAATAAAATCCGAGAATATGCCAGGATGCTATACAACAGAACCAAAGTGCTTGGAAGTTCTGAAGCTAAGCTCCCTGTTCCTGTTTTCTGATAACATGTATTTACATGGACACTGGCTAAGTTTAAATAACTCGTCTGCTTTAATCAATGATGACAAACTTATATAGGTACTACAAAGAAAATGTAAGACGAAAATGATACTTACCTTTACCCAAATGCTTTTCGTTCATGCTGGAACAAAACTACTTGAACGTTCGTACAAGCAAGACTGCCAGTGGAGGTCATATAATGGTTTTATATAACTGGCGTCTCTTTGCTCTGACGTGTTAGTTTTTCAAGGTTACGCCCTGATAACTATTACATTATATCCAGATACTGATTGTTATATAATGATGTGGAGCCCATCATAAATGCATCGTTTTAAGCAGGAACGTAAAATCACCGAAATCTCAACATTTGATCTGGGTTGTACGCCTCTCCCCTAGAATTACGAGACATTCCATGATGATCGTAGATCAGGGCCTGCTTGAAACGACCTTGGTAACGGGATTTGAAAGTCTGTAATAGCTGTACAATCCCTCTCAAAAGCACAAAAATAAAATAACTATTATAATCCGAACGTGAACTTTTCTGGTCTGTAGTCTTCACCCAAAAATCCAACTACCCTGTTCTGTAATCTTCGTCTAGGATGTAACTTTACCCTTTCGACGTGACAATAGACGCTCAGCCTACTCTGTCCCCTAGGAAACAGTACTCAGTACCCATAATAAAAGGTGCTAGGTGGGACTCTCAGCCGGTGTGGACAAAGTGGTAGCAGAGATAAAAAAAATTATGTCCCTGCCGGGAATGGAACCTCAGTCGTCCAGCCCATAAGACGTCTGTAGGTAAATATGTCAGAAAACAGAAAAGAAGTCATGATGTACCGTGTATCTGAATGTATGAACTAGTAGTCCCTGTCCTCTAGTCCCGCATTTCCACCAGTGCTTCTACAAAATAAGATAGTGTAAGTAAACTGCAAGCCATGAAAGTTGGTTGTTTGTTTGCTGTGGCCTTGATGCAGAATAAGTTACTTTATGTAGACAAATAATAGGCTGCATAATAATAAATAAAATGTGGTCTTTTTTGGCTACCAGATCCCATTATCTATAAGTCCCAAAATAAGTTAAAGCATTCCCGAGGTTGATGTTAGGAATTCGGGGTAATTTGATTTTTATTCATATTGGTCCACAATAAGATGCGGTGGATGGGGTAGCTTTGGTTGGAAAACCCGAAGGGAAGAGATCACTTGTAACACGGGCGTATAGGCGGATAATGCTGAAATGTATCTTAAGGAGATGTGTGAATTTATGGATTGGGTTGGGCTGAGTGGCGAATTCTTGTGAACACGGTAACGGACATCTGAGATCAATGAAATCAGGTAATTTATTGAATACCTGAGCGACTAATAGATATTCAGTAACTCTGCGTCATGAAGTTGGTTAACTGTTGCGCAATATCTGTCTTTCTTTAATACTTTAAGAACAGACTTTATCTTCCTTATCTGTGACATATTGCCATGCAAGCATAACCTTTCATATATGCTATGTAATTGTGAAAAAGCGAAAAACATAACAAAACTGATGTATGTGTTACAAAGTACAGGACACCTTTCAGCGGTAATATTTAGTTTTAGAACAAATGTGAGTAAAGGTACGAAAATTTGTATTCCTTAACCAGTTGTCCGCAGAACACTGTAGGTTCGAAAAAATCTAATTAGTATTATATTAGGACCTATGTTTATTTTACCATAGATGGGAAAATTACTGTGTAAGTGGCGACTTGAATTCGGTCTCTCTTTTATCTTAGCGACTAAATAGTTTATATTAGCGTTCCTACTCATCCTCGCTCCGTTTTTCTCCGAATAATGACGAGAAAGGGGACATGGATTTTTAAGTCTCTGCAACTATCTGAAATGGGGAGGCTAGGCCTTGTAACATTTCCCATATTCTTGGAAGACGCTTTTAACTATTTTGTTTGCCCTTGTGCGTAATCTTTAATGTTTACTTGAGTGATTATGATTGATCTTCGATTTTAACAGACCAACCCACTTTTTGTTCCAGTATTTAATTAATAGGCTTTATGAGTAACAAACATGCACACAGACAAAATTATGGTACTAGTATTCGTTTCTAGACAGCTAAATCCATTTAAATTAAATATACACTATAAATCCTGTTTTTCAGGCACATATTTCCAGTATTGAGATGATACTATTTTATACAAATAGTTAATAATAGCATGTAATGAAATACAATCATGTCTAGGAAATTCTTTTTAAGATTACATTCTGTGCGTAGAAGTTTTCTTTTCTTTCTGTTAGGTTTTAGTAGAGTCTGCATCGGCATAACTTGCAATTTTATACAGGAACACATACATGCTATGCACATAACAAAAATAGTGTCCGGTCAAAATATCATACGTGAAACCGACTATTTTTTCGACAGACTCGTCAGTTTTTAAGCTTTTGAATTTAAATTAGAGAACCATAATCTGAAAACTGCTACAATACAGCCTGTTGTACTTTCACCTTTTGTACTTTTTTAATTTCAAAATGCTACACATTTCTAACACATGCAGAGAAATGCAATTAACATCAACAGCCTGGTCATTTTCCAAGGTCCACAAATCCTCCCTTGTCTAAAGGGGAACTCATGAGTTTCTGTCCATTTACTCAGAGGATGCAACTGGCACTAGACGCAAAGCAGATATCAAAAGCAACTTTGCACAGTATTACATTTTTTTTTAGCTATTAATAGCCAGCCTTGCTTTTGCTTCAATAACAGTGAATCAGCAAAAGACATGTCTGTTGAAGATAATTAACTCTCAGGGCTTATCTTCATTGTATGTTTAGTGTCATATAACCCAGAACTCGCCACCATGAGAACCTCAGATACTGCTTACTTTCATGTGATTCATCCTATATTAATTGTTTTGTTTTTGATAATGAAATATATATTACGACAAGTACAAGTATATTTTATAAATGTCAATTCTCATGCAAAGTAAACAACTTGAGAATAGCTAAACATACTTGTATGAAATTTTATTGGGGAGTTTTACTAATATTTGTCAACACTTTCCAATTTTTTTTAAAATCAGATGACAATAATGGGCACTTTATGTAAATAACTGCAAGTATTTCTGGACTCTGGAGAGTCTTAATTGAGAATATTCTCTTCTATTCTGTAAGGTGTCGATTATGAAGGATGCAATGTTTTCGACTAGGCACTCGTTACTGCACCGTGTAGGAAACTTACTTTCTGTGTTGTCCGTAGAGTATCGGGTGTCGTTCCAGTCGCAAGGTCGATATCAGATGTCAGATTTTGTAAGCCGGTGTCAAGTCTGTACTAGGCTGCGCTCTTCAGACTGACTTTCAGCTGCCTATATCGTTGCTTCAAGACAGTCAGTTGTTATTGTTTGTTGTGTCCATATTGGTCTTGTTTGTTTTAATTTAATTTAAATTTTGTTACGGATCCTGCACCATGAGTGAAGAACATCTTGCTGTAGGTAAGACCACACAGCTACTGCAATTATGTTTTAGCAAAGTTGCAGTTGTGCTAATTGCACGTTTATTATATTTCTATCTTCGTTTTACAAAATCATATTATAATTTACCACGTTTTCTATGAAATTGCGGGTTTGCCTGGCTTTCTTTTCTGGCGACACGCTTGGTTACTCACTCTGAGGGAGAACAACACAATTAAAAGAATACGAAAACAAAGCTCTAAGGAAGATGTCTGTTCCACCTTTTATAACATTTCTGCCCCAGGAACTGCTTCCTCACAGCCTAAATGAATCTAAGTTTTGTCGTTAAGTGTAATTGAACTCTGTTGTTTTAAATTTCTTCAATTTGTAACTACCAACTGGCAAGGGAAGGTGCCTTTCATGGTTGAGTTCGCTGGTTTGTAAAACAAATGGTCATATTTAATTAGAATGTTTATGCCTGAATTCAATGGACATGTTGCATGTAGTGGGATGACGTCTTATGTAGCAATATATTAAATACTGAAATACATCGCCCATTTCCATCATTGCGTTGACATAAGAATCTAAAAGTCTGGTGGAGTTTATTTCGGAGAGTAAACATTTAACGTTTCTTAATCTTGGCCTTCTCTTGCTGGAGCTGGCCTCTCCGGTAATTTATACAATAGCGACCCAAGGTTTGAGCCGAGCCAAAGAACAAGTCAAACTGCTCTGGTAATTGCTTCCTGTAAGCATACTTGGATTGAGAGAATTTCTGTTGCCAACCGTCTGATTTCCTTTTTCGTGTCTGACACTACTATTTATTTGATTCCAGCCCTTTTATGGAATTTTATTTACGTAATGAATGTTGTTCCAGCAGTCTGTATTAAGGGCCCCATACACGATCAGTTAAAAAGCAGAAATGAATTGTGTGATATAATAGTGGTAAAAAAGTTAATAGTTCATGCATTTAATAGGCCGATTACTTGAACTGGGTAAAACTGCCATAATTTTCTCAGAAAAATTCGCAGTATGGAAGTGTGACAATAGGACTTCGTTGTGACGAAATAGCTTTCTCATATCCATATTTCTCGTGTGAATCAAGGGTCAAATTTTGCTCAGAAGTAAATTTAAAGTTTCGTAATCCATTCGTAAGTAATTTTGGAAATCATATTTTGTTGTTTAAATAAGTCTATTGGGAAAGTTTACATCAATAGTATAGTATCCTTTTAATCACCAACTTTTGCACCAAAAAAATGCATTTCCTCTTTCATTTTCTTGGTTGAAGCAGCGCAAAACCAAACGTCAAAAACGAGCCATTTTGCTTATCCCATCTGCAATTAGCTGCAACATCCAGCACATTTTTCAGGTTACTCTGAATCTATGACTGAAGATAAAACAGTTTATTTACCACGTGTGTGTGCAACCGTCGCATTGCTCATTTTAGCTGCTCACCATAACTGATCGTCAATGGCGCAATTAAAAATGCTGTCAACTCTTCCGCGGGCGTAGCCTTCTCTGTCGTTTCTGGCTATAAATGCCATGCGATTTCTAGGAATCAGCCATTAGTTCTGTAAGTCATCGGGTTGCTGGAAGACTGTCCATTTCTGCCAGTGCAGTTGACAAGCATTTGTTCCGAATTGACGCAATGGAGAGACGAAAATACGTTCTGTATTTATTAAGAAGCTCTGTCACTCTTCGAAACTTGTCTTTGTTAGCTTAAAATTTTAAATTATCGCACGAAATGAAATGTTGAAGAACACGCATCGATCTCCTTTCTTATTTATAGTATACCTTTGTGTAGTGTATGCGATATCAATTTGGGGACGAATATGGGTAACAAGCTGTGAATGTCATTGAAGTAAACTTGGGGGGGGGGGGGGGGGAGAGAGGAGGATTTCTAGTGATTTACAGTATGCACTTCCTGAATTTCAAATAGAAGGAAAGAAGCACAAACTGACGTACGTCAAAATTTATAGTTTTATTATGAGGTCTTTCTAAATTGTACTCACATTGAGGAAAAATTAAATATAATAAAAATAAAATTACAATACAATAACATAATGTAATTAAAATATACATAATGTAAAATACAGTTAAATTTAATTAATATAAGTACAGCTCCCTAAAATTAAATTAAATTAATGGTAGATATAAATAAAAACTGAATAAATAATGTAACGTTTTTCCTGAAATTTCTGAAACCAGAAACTAAGGGGAGATACGTGTCAAAATGGCGACAGACTGAATCTTAGAGGTCATGTTCACAAGAGAAAGGGAAGGTACGTCACTAAGTCTGGCCTTTCTTAATCAATTCGTTATATGGTTGTACGTGATTATTGTTTGTTTTATACCTATATTTATTTTCTGGGTTATGGAGCCGCGTGGACTTACAGGTAGATACCAACATTTCGGAGGAGCATACTACCTTCATATTCACTCCTGAAGGTGGTGGCAGTATACTTCTCCGAAACTTTCGTACCTACCTGCAAATTTGCACGTTGTCACAACTCGGAACAACAACAACGAGATTTTTTACCTCCTTGAAGACATAAATTCTAAATACATGGTATGAGGCATTAAGAACATTAGGGATTATTATCTGTATTACATATAATGTGTCTTCTTTAAAAATTCTTGTTTTATGTAATGCTTTAGTTCAAACCTGGAGGAGGGGAACAATCTTACGTCGACTGATTGATACGTTTAAAAGTATTCAAATAAAATTTGTCAGTTTGTGTCAAAGTTTTTTTTTACATTTTATCTAATTATATTTTAAATTGTTTAAACTTTAGAACACTTTATTCCAGAGGATGATATCTCGAAGAGTTATTTCTAATTAATGTTTGTAGGCGCAAAGTAAATTGCCATTATATCACGGATACTGTTGGTATTTGTGTCTGAAATGCAAATAAAACAAGATTCATTCCTTAGCATGGGTGCACCAATGTTACAAATAACATACGCAAATTGTTTTTACATACTTCGCAAAAACGTGTATGTTTTTATGACAGTTTCTCATTGCGGGAAAGTGCTTACACTGATTTTTTTTCCGTAATCTGTTTTATTTTTAGTTTATTTTTATTAATATTTGACTTTTGTAGGCTTTGCTGTTAGCAAACATGCTAACAAATAAATTGAATTTATATTGGCATACGTTGTGCCCGGTGAATGGTATGCACACACATAAGTTAATGCCAAGTGGCGAAAGCTTACTTACCGACTGGTGATGTTTATACGTAGCAGAATCCTGGCACTGATTCCTAGTGGATGCAGTTCCCACCCTGTTCTTGTCATTGCATTTCGCTCTATTTATCGGGCATCTGGACAGCACATGCCGTCTGCGTGACTCATCTCAAGAAGCAAACATCCAGGACATAATGTGAAATATTGTATTTACAAACTGTAGATTCTAAATTTTAACGAAATGTTGGTCCTAAAATAATTTGGACGCGCGGTCGCTGGGAATCCAACTTAGGGCATGGATGTTTACGCTTTTCTGTGTTGTGCTGTCCTGTGTAGGTCGAAGTCTTGTGTCGGCTTTTTACCCGTCCAAGGAGCCCTACCAATGTCTAAACAGATTAAGAAACCTCCCCTATGTGATGTCGACAAGGTCCTTCAAGGACTGTAGAGCCACAAAGTAAATGAAGTGTTGGTTCTAATAAACAGAAGTAATAACAAGAAGTAATAGTACTAAAGCACTACTTTGACGTTCATTTATTAATGAAAGAATTCTGTTGTTGCAAAGCTGGTGGAACTATAGATAACACAGTTAAGGGTATACTAACCTGCGTGATACCAGTTTAGGTCCAGACACAGACTTAGGTAATATTGCAGAAATAAGATAAATAAACTATACAAGCTATCTAAAAGTATATTTGAGGCAATTAGAGAACCAACCATCCGGTAATGTTATTGCTGAATTTATAATGTTATTTATTTATAAAAGCCATCATGATATCGCACGGTCTGATCCGATGTGCCGTCTAATTGTTCTCTCATTCTGCATTAAGAACCAGTTGACTGTATGATAAAAGGAAAGGGTCTGGGTAGGAAAATATCGTGGATTATTTAATAAAGTTTAATAAAGTTAATATCATTAAATTTATTGGGAGACCAGGGAAAATCATCGTAATCTTCGTGGATATAAGAGGTACAACGCCGAATTTACATCGGGATCTGATACAAATGAGACACATTACCACCTTATCACTCTGCTCGTTTTGTGAAGCAGAACCAACCAACCCCTTCATTCTATCGCCCCAACGTATAGAGCGATTAACAAATCGATTCCATAAATTTATGAGTATATTTTGAAGGGCTTGGGTATGTAACCCAGAATGTCTGGAATGTTTGCTCTGGATTGGTCGCTCGACAGGAAGTGTTTTCCGCAAAAAAAAATTTTGCGTAGTCACGATGTGAACGTCAGTGACCCAGATATTAAGAGTACACTTTTTGTCTTAATTGTATAAAATAGTTGTCGCATTGCTTCAGTGGGGTCAAACTATACGTGATCATGACGCAATTTTGTATGTATTCTCACTAGCTTAAAAGAGAGTAGAAAGTGAATGACTAACAGCAATATGAATGTGAAGGTGAAAGTCACACAAACACTTAATACTTATATACGTCTGCATTTCATATTATAAAGTACAATGTATTCTTATCAGTGTACACACAACTTAGTCATCTTATTCTTGGCACTGCTTTCTCGTTTTATTATTTAGTATTAGAGTGCTTATGTTTTAGGCAGGTGTGTGTCGAAACCGGCCACCTGAACGCCGATTGGAAACCATTGCTTTGCTGGCAGAAGCATTGAACACAAATTGTCGTTGTGATGACAGCATTGTTCTTGTTCATTTCACATGCTGGTCTGTTTTCCTGTTCATCGTTCCCAGTGTCGACATTTTATTTTCGTTGCCATGACACCGCAATCAATAATTTGGTAGGTAAATTGTGACAAATCGATTCTAGATTCAGCCTGCCCACCGATGAAGGACGGAGAAGTGCGTCTGTACGGGATGAGGTTCTGCCCGTTCACCCAGAGGGTCCGTATTGTGCTGAACGCCAAGAACATCCCACACAATGTTGTGAACATCAACCTTAAAAACCAGCCCGAGTGGTACTTCAAAATTCATCCTGACGGGAAAGTTCCTGCGCTGGACACGGGCAACGAAGTGGTGTTGGAGTCCCTGGACATCGCTGACTTCCTGGACGAGAAGTTCCCCGACCCTCCCCTCTATCCCAATGACCCGGAACTGAAGAGCCGAGATAAGGAATTCATTAAGAAATTTGGCAAGGTCTGAACTTTAGTTTCATAATTAAGACTCGCGTCGTAGCTAACTGCGGAATTTAAATAAGTATTAATATGCGTAGTAAATATTATGACAACCTGTTTCGATACAGTGAAGGACGTCAGCATGTTGCTTAATTGATAAGTATGCTACTGCTCAGAGGCACGGTGGACTTTTATATTACTCTTACTTGAAAGGAACAACAAAAAATGCAGCAGTAGTATCAAATGAAATTATTGCGATAATGTAACCCGATGTCACTGTTGTGGGCAATGACCTTGGTTATTGCTGTAATAATGCGCCCAAACTATGTATATATTCTCCTTGTTGCAAATGTGTTCCTACTGTGGTCTAGATTCCCATTTTAGCGTTTTTCAACAGTGAACTGGGTCTCGTGAGTTGCCTGATTGCTAGAAAAGCCGCGATGAACAGACACCCTACGGGACCCGTATGGTGTTATTTGTCCACCCTGGAGCTTGAAGTATGCTACTCCTAGAAAGTATGTTAGTGCAATGGGAAGTTGAGAAAATTCTCTGCCGCTTGGAATTACGAGGCGCTGTAATATTTAATTTAGAACTCTTGCTTTCACTCTTCTGTGCTGTAATCGATTAATAATTAAGTGGTCTGCGCCTGCAGATGTGTGTTTAGAGCAAATGCATTACATCTGTGTCGGAATGGTCGTCGCTCTTACAAGGCGGTCTCTTGAAGTAAAACTAATTCATTAGTCCCTTGAGAAAATTAGCGCGTATTTTTAGCAGGATTTTTAAAGCTTGACACTGGTTTCCGTGATAGAAGCAGTGTAGTTCCAGATTTCAGGCTTCTCCTTTTCCTCGTAGGTCGTTGGCGCAACATCGAGGGCTCTTCACAATACGGATAACTTGCCGGTAGAAGAGTACCTTAAAGATATCTTGGAACCTCTGGAAGAATTCGAAGCGGAACTGACAAACCGAGGGACCACTTTCTTCGGAGGTAAGCTTCAGTTCTGGCCAGCGGTCGGAGAATAACGTCGTTTCTTGGCTTCTTCAGTCAAGCTCACTCGACTGTTGACTTTATCAGAAGTCGATTGTTTTTGATGAATTGAAAAGAACGTAGAAATGGTAAGGACCTATTTAAAGGTACCACCATATGTCAACTAATTGAGATCTAATAAATCTGCTGAAACCAAGTACTGTCAGTAAGAGATAGTAAGAGGATAAAATAATAAGTTTATTGATTTTTAGTATGCGTGTAGTTGCCAGTAGACTCGATAGTGACACCAATAACGAACAATTCCAGTACATTTGTTTTGACATGTGATTTTTAGACTGGTTTGCCTGGCTTTTAATTTTTTAATATTAATTAATTTAAGAAATGTTAGTTCAATTGAATGCACACGTAACGAACTGAACTTAATTCCTTCCTGTACCTGAATACTGCATTTTGATGTCATATACGTGTGGGTAAAACTACACTTATTATTAACCTCGGCATTAGATGCCGATTATCGTCACGTGTCGTCCGCTTTTCCCCTGTAATTGTATGGGTGACTGGATGCTTCCAAGAGCTGATTTTGACACTGCGGAGAAGACCCTTGTCTGATGGAATGAAGTGCGCGTTATACAGTGCTTACCTCACTGTATTTATAGGTGTTATTTAAAGAAAGGAGGAAAGAATAATCCGGGTCATACAAAAGTAATTGGACTGTCCTGAGTCACTTGAATGCAGTCTACATCCTCACACCCTATTTATTTAGGTCCGTTTTATTAATATTCTCCCATCTATGCCTTCGTCTCCCTGGTGATGTCTTCCTTTTACGTTTGGTGAAGAGTATATACACATCAACCCGCTAGTTCCTCCATCACTTTCTTCAGCCAGTCTGTTTTCTCGTAGAGCGTGAGACCAATTGACAATAAAGAAAGTGGTATAGAAGTACATTTGTATGACAGAATATACGCTCCTCTTAATAAGTATATTTGCTGTATTTATAGGTTAATTTTCATAGATCAAATTAATCTAGTTCACTTCTAAGATGAATTGTTTATAGTCTTCAGATTTTTTAGATTACAAGGAAATCTTACGTAATTTTATGCAGGTGATAATCCGGGAATGCTGGACTACATAATGTGGCCCTGGAGCGAACGTTCCAAAGTTCCAAGTGCCCTGCAGGATAAGGAATTCCATTTCCAGAAAGAGAAGTTTCCAACGTTGGTAAGTGCACATTGACGAGATTTGGAGTTCTCGCGGCAGTGAATATGTCGATTTTCGTCTCCCCATAATAACATCATGTTGACATTTAGGAGGAACATACTGCTTTCACTTTCAGGGCTGAAGAACATGCTGTCTCAATCTTAAGTCCTGAATGTGGAGGCAATATGTTCATCTTCAACTTTGGTGTTTACTTTCAAGTCTAGAACAGTTTCACTACCCAAAATATCAACATTGATATCAAAGTTAAATCAATATAAGATTCGCCACTGAGGCTCAGTACTTCACTTGTACATGATAATCAATCATAAGTATGGTCTCGTATTAAAAATCAGTTTTTTAAAATACGTTATTATCTTTATCGAAACTGGTTGGAACAGCTAGGAGCACTCATAATGTTAAGCTGCAAATAACGGGTGCTTAAACTTTGTAATGTGCACAGATTTCGGTCTTCCTGTCTTGTCTCAGTACGGTTTATTTTAAGAAAAACCTGGATGAAAAATGAGCGTTTTTGCTATTAGGAAATGAGTGTAGATTGACTGACTGGTGTGTGTGTGTGTTCAGGTTGCCTGGAGAGACGCGATGAAAGATGTGAACGCTGTGCGTGATACCATCACGAGCCTAGAGACGCATGTCAAATTCCTGAAGGGTTACTCAGGGGCCAATCCCGAATTCGACAACCTGTAAACACTTTCTAGATTTCGGGAAGTGAACCTACACTCTCCAAGGAACTTATATCGAACAGATACGCTTAATGCATTTGCTTCTTAAAATAGCAGAGGGCACTTTCTATTGTATTGCTTTGCTTCTAACTTCCAACTTGACAATAACAATTAACCAAGAAAGCGTCTATACCTAGATAGCAAAGGGCATTGTCGTGAACGAACCGCGTCTTTTAATACCACCGTTAAGGTGTTGAAGTAGTTTGCCGATGTCATAACAGGAGAGCGCCACATTCGCTACGGTTATGGACGCAACACCTGACTTGCTCGTCTCATGCAGACGTAAATGTTTACCAGTTTATTAAACCACTGCAATAATTTGTGTATTATCGTGTTATATAGACGTCTGTATTTTTTTAGGCGCATAAAGTAATATCAGAGCCTATTATGTTCTGAATGGAAATACATTGTGTGAAAAACGTGTATTTTGGTGATTTCTGTATGTAAACCATCATGTTCCCTATATAGTACCCGACTGTAATCTTGAGACTTGCAAGGAATGCAGGAAGTCCGAAGCGTTATAGACTGACTCTATCTTTCCTCCTTCATCCCGCAAGTCTCAAGATTACAGTCTTACACTGTATTTCATATAATTGTGGTACTGCTTGCGGTGGTTAGTGAGCAATGACTGAAGTGATTAATTTTCTTCGAAAGTATGTAGTCTTCTTGTACATACGTATAATGATTTTGGGAAATAAAATTAGTTCTGACCACAAAACGAGCGTGTGTATGCGTGCGTTTCAAGTTTCTAGAGGCCCCTTTGATAACAAGGAGTTCGGATAAACTCCAATTTTGAAAATACATTATTACAAAATATGCTTTTGTATATGTCCCATTTGAGCCAACGGACGGATTTTCGTGATTCAAATCCTATGTCGTTAGGGCCTTATTAATTACCACAAATAATACGGCAGTAGTACCAACTTGAGGTGAAATTGATATTTATGTGACATTTTGCATGGGCCTGTTTTCTATGTATGGTAAGATATGTCGACAAATTACGATTTTTTTTATAATATTAAACAATGTGGCTGCCAAGCGTATTAGTTTTCCTTTTCGCTGCAATAGCTAGTAAACCGTTTGATTTAGGAATGCGAAATTTTTGTATGGAGACTTTGTAAACACAGGTAAAAATTCTGCAGTAAAGATAATTTTGTGTGGGACAAATTACGAGCAGTTGATGATACAGACTTTGAGGATATATCAAATTTGTTGTAAGAATTTGTAGTAGTGAATATTGTGTACATAAATGTCTGTGTTTATAAATAGTAATTTACAGTTTCTGCTTACTTGCCCGTAAATATTGAAGCATTTGAGTGAAATTTGTTCCAAGAATTACTAGCTAAAAATGCAGTAATTATGCAATTTGAATTCATTCGTCTGTATGTTTTGAATTTTATTTGAGGTTATAAAATGCCCACGAATACATTTTATTACGTTTTAAAAACTCTGGCTTTAATTCTTTACTGCTGCAGAGACTTCTTTCAGGATGGTTATTATGGAGTCGAAAGTTTCTAGGGCTGTGGGTATGATCTGTTCCGCGGGCAGTAGGAAGCCGTATTGTCCCTCGTCACGCAGTTCCCATTCGAAAGTGTACGGCACATTCAGCTTGCTCTTCGCCCAATCCATGCTGCCACCAGTGGCCTCGTCTGCAATGAACAAGTTAACTGAAAGTGTTTGGCGAATTGAGCAGTATCATTGGCCTTGACATCTAACACACAGCGGCTACGCACTGCAACCAAACAGTTTCACGTAGCCTACTTCGTAAAATATTCAGCACGCACAGAAATGTTTAAAATACAATTTACAGATACTGAATGGATACAAATTAAATTTGCGCTACACGTTTTACTGTGGTACTTCAATATGAAATTTAAGCGGAATTCATTTAATTATCTTGGAGATGAAAGACTGGCAGATGCAAGCATACGCTGAATTGACGGTTCCATATGACAACAGTTGGGCCAAAGTGCTGCATTAATTATTCACGGAGTTGATTCAATCTCTCTTCCTGCTTGCCAAATGCCTGCGTCCCATTTTGTTGGTTGAGGGTTTAGTGACATCGCGGAGAACGGTTGCCCCAACTTCGGGATTTCGGTTTTCGTAATACTAACAAGACAAATTCGGATTGTTCCATAATACGACCTCCTCCTTGCAGGTCCTTCCAAGTTCATTATTTAGAATTATTTTTCTTTTCGACTCATTGTGATCTTTTTAGTTGGAAAATTCCAAAAAGTAACTTAAGGAATTTTGGGGGTTTGATGATGTAAAACAATTAGGCCCTACTTGTATGTAAGTACGTACATTTTTGATAGATGAATCCCAGTAGATCAGTGGTACCCCAATGCAGTGCCCGCCAAGGCTTTCTTTTTGGGTGCCCGCGTTGATACGGAAAGAGGTTATACTGAATAATGAAGGCCGTTCAACCATGAACATTATTAAATCAAAGCACAGATCTCGACTTACTGACGTCCATCTTGACGATCGTTTGAAAAACTGGCCGATGAAATGCAGTGCCAAACTTCCCACTTGAGTAATAATAATTGTACTTATAAAAGTACATATTTTTGATTGCATAGTTTCTTGTATCACTAAACGTCGTGTTGTTTTGTGTATTATTTGGTGTCCATATCTTATTTGTCCAGAGAAAAGAAAATTTGGCTTTGTTGATTGGTTGGTGCCCGCCACGATCTCATAAACTCTCAAATGTGCCCGTGAGCACAAAATGTTGGGGACCACTGATGTAGATTAATGTGTAATAGCGGCTGTCATGGGAAATATTTAATTTCTTCGAAATTAACGCGTATGTATGTGCTAGAAATATAAAATCGTGTCAAGGAATGGATGTTTGTCTTTCTGTAAACTTTTGTGGTTATTTTGTTGACCGCTGTAATATCCCGCTCGTCTGGTAGATGGCAGCAAGGCAGTTAAACTTGTCAAGATTTGTTTGCTCTGCCACGTGATAATGGAGAGGTCACGTGTCTAAATACTTGACTCTCAAAGCCTAAAACAAATTCCGGTTCTGTTTACATAAATTCGTGGGACGAATTTTGTGCCGTGTCGTGTCGGTCTTATAAAGTCCATAATTTATAGAAGCCGACATCGAACCCTAAGAATTTTCTAAAAAAAAAAGTTTACCGTAAATACAAAGTATATGCCTTATATATTTAGGATCTAAAAGTTAAATTCGAGTAGCTTTAACATAAGTAAACTTACAGATAGCATTAATGATGGAGCCAACAACGTACTGGGTTCCGTATCTCTGAGACAGTGAGTGGGCCGCTTTGCTTCCGATCTCCAACTGTGGGTAGATAAAACTTATAAATAATATTTTAAAAAATCAGTTCCTACCTCCCATTAAGAATTTGTCGCTTCTAAGTTACAAAGATTGGTAAGTTAATGTTTAAGGAAACAATTACTATGTGAGAGAAGCAGACGTTACTCTCAAATACACCGCATGGGTTAAACGCGGTTACTGAACGTTAAACCTGGTGATATAAGTAAATTACCACCTGTCTGTAAAAATTTGAAATATAGTGCGTCTGGTAAATAGCTCCCTATTTTAGATTTTTATTTCTCATAACCGCGAGGAGAGATCACATTGGACTCCTAGGTGTATTATTGTGGATTGCTTTGTATTTGGGATGCCCCGGGTTCAAACCGTGGCCGGGAGACCGGCTATCCTGACTGAAACTTTTTATTGTTTTACTCAGACTGTTGACAAATTCCGGAATAGTTTTAAGTAGGCCTCAACCGCTTTCTTACATATCTTTTCCTATTAATTATTTATTAATCGTCATATATTTCGAAGCTATAAAGTCTGAGTTACTGAAAGTGTCATTAAATAAACTAATCCATAAATCTAATCTCTGCCGTGACCGTTTGTTGCAAGCAAATAATAGCTGAAAAATTAAGTAAACTTGGAAGTTCTGCAGACATCGACATACATGTCAAAAACAGTTTCGGAGTTTCATGGACGTACAAGTTTATAGTAGTTGTCTGCCGTCTCGTGGCGATGTCCGAACGGGACCATGAGCAGCTGGCTGTAGCTGTGGAAGGAGAAGTACACGGTGGGGTTCAGCTCTTTGATGGTCTCTGCCAGGCTGGCCGTCTCCACTGTGGAGAAAGGGCCCGTCCCTGCGTATATCTCAGAACACTCGTTGCTGCTAGCTCCGCCCTCTACGAAACATACATAATGCGTAATTGGCAATACTGCACCTCCAACAAGAAAATTGTTTTTGTTTGTGGTTAATACATTTGCATACTTCGATGGCTGTAGGATTTCGCTTGGTAGGACAGTGCTAACTCACTTCTGCGGCTTAGAAAATTCACCGGTTGAAAGAAAAATAAGTTAACTCATTGGGCAGTAGATTAACGGATATGAGAATTTTTATAATGCAGTTTAGCCTGGTCTATAATATTTCCTCAGTGCCAGATCCTACTGGTTATGTTGCCGTTATGAGGTCTCTAGAACCCCGTTTGTGATGGGGCGTGTGAAAGCGAGCTTGGCATTCATTAAATAAAAAAAACGTTAGTCGGAAGAACGCATTCGAAGACGAAGAAGATTCTTTCCGAGTCCCTCCAAATATCCCAGTCACAGATCAGTACACAACTAAAGACAAAGTCTGTTTTCCGCATTGGGTTTTCTTACTCAGATACTGTAATTTATCATTTACCGCTATCGCGACGTATTGTGATCGTCTGAAGCAATGGCGTACACTACATCGAACCGAACCAGCAAAAATACCTCCCGATCTTATTTTCTGAATTGTTTCGCAGCAGAAAACTCAATTCAGATCCGCGAGGTATTGTTAAATCAAATTCTTTAAGACGCATTCAGTGCGCCAAAAAGAATTTAAGATCTGAAGGGCATTTCTTAAATATTTAAAGAAATATAACATTTTATTTAGACCCAGCTCACAGTAGCACGAACCGACCAGAATTCTGGCAGGATAATATTTTTCACTTCGTAGGAAGTCAACATTGCCTGCATGTGGTACACGTTGCTTTCATAATCAGGGTTCTGGTGACCGAGACATGACAGGATAATAATCGCATATCGTATGGAAGATATTTAACTCTAAATAAGCTAAGATTTTAAATTTGTGTTTTTTTATTCCACGCGTTGATAGTTGCGAGTAAAAACGAGGTTAATCGGTTTTAAAACAGTCTAGTTGTCAGAATATTAAGTTTTAATTGATTACAGCACAGGGATTTATCTTATTTAAACATGTTTTGCGCTGGAGGCAGGGCAATGTTGCGAAGTACCTACCATTCCAGTGGTCATCCCAGTTCCTATTAGGATCCACACCGTTGCATACTGTGCCAGGGGTTAGAGTCTTGCGCCACATCCGGTTCTGGAATGACAGGTACAACAGTCAGTAGTCTGTTTAGCTTTCTAAAGACTGCAGCACGAGAGAGAAGGTATTCATTAACGGAGTGCATATACAGAGCGCCCCAAAAATATGTATTAAAACATTCAATTAATGAGATAGGGCATTTTAATCAACTAAACCATTACTTAGGTCAGTATTGGCACTTCGTGAATTAGCGATTCTAGTAGGTGTTCAAAATGACCACCCTTAGCTTCGTGGCGCAGTTGACTGTCAAGCAGCCACCAAAGTTGCTGCTGTGATACATTCTTTTAATTCTTCGAGTTTCTGGTTCTATCATTTTGTCTTGATGTAGGCCTACATATAGTGTAGCTACTGAATTCTTACCGTGGTGTGAGAATATTGATAGCCGTCCGGGTTCACGCTGGGGAACACGTACCAATCAAAGTTTTCTGCGATGGACCTCACGTCAGGATCTTCACTCGTAAGCAGCTGGTTTAGGATCCATGTGGATAGGGACGGGCAAATCCATTCACGTGCGTGGATTCCTGGAATCCATTATGTTTATTAACTTAGACCAGCTGGGTCTCGTATTATTGGAAACATACAGGGAGATTTAGTATATGGGGATCATTATAGCATAAAATACACAATGAAAAAATGTATATAACGGAAAGTGTTTAGGTTATTAAAATGTGAGGTCTGAGGTTTTCATGGCAGTGAAAATGCCGTCTTTGTTCTTCTGGATTGTCATGCCGTGTGGACTCGTCGTATAGGAGATATATTGTCTCCATCTTCAGGACTGAAGATGGAGACATTGTGTGCATACGAATTATTGGTATTTATATGCGACACCACACAGCATGACAACCCAGAACAATAATTAATCAAGCATGAATTGTTCAGGCTGATTTATGTATGCATCTCAATAAGTAACTTGCCTGATTCAATGAAGATCTTAGGATTCCCGTCTTTGTAGGAGAGTTTAACTCCAAGAATATCCCGTCCTTCGTAAGAACTGCCACCTACGTACAGCTGCACGATATCTGGGTAGTCCTCGGCCAGAGAACGTAGGTAGTCATTGGTCTGTGGAAACAATGAATGGGTACCATGACTGTTAACAAATTTTCTATATGTTTTCTGTAGGAAGTATGAGAATAATATTTTATCATTGAATTCGTTGTACATATATTAGGTCCGATTCCTTATGGATTTTCAACTTACTTCATCCAGATCATAGTAGTCAGTCCAACCATAACCTGCCCTCACATTCTGAGCAGGTTTCTCGTTGTCAATGGCTCTGTAATGAGGGAGACGTGGATGTATGAACATCAGGTAGGTGCGTACATTGATATTATTTTAGGGTGTGAATGTTGACTGCAAATTATAGGCCCAGTGTATGATACAATGGCATACCAAGGTTTTCTGTGGAAAATTCTGTATCGCTTGGATAGTGTACTGCATGCGAACAGCTTGATACAAAAAAATACCCTTCTATAAAGAATTGGTAGATAAAATAATAGCTCCTTATTTTACGGATTAGGCATCATAACCTGGCCCGACTCATTATAATGCGTCTATAACACTGATAATTGTCAGTGTTATAGACTCTGAATAGAGTTCCCTGGATGATGGTTCAGCGAGTCTCAAGAGAATTAGCATACTTACTTCTGTACGTCTTTGATAAAGATTTTAGTCTTCAAGTTGTTCTTCCGGACCATGTTATAGAAATCTCTCAACAAGTGTGGAGGTACCATGATGTCAACAGACGTATTCAGCCCCCTGGGACTGGTCCAGAAATCCAGCTTCCAACACATATATCAGTACAATTAATCTATCTACATAATAGACCAAGTTCTGACTGGTTGATCATTTTGTGGTACTGATATATATATATATATATATACACACACACGCGCGCGAACGCACACGTATTCGTGGAAATGCAATAATCTGTTGTATATGCTCCCTTCTGATGTTACCATGGCAACATCACTATTTTCATTATATTAAATCTTACTCAATTCTTTAATTAAGCAAAGGTGATGATTTTAATTTTTATATATTGTTTTGTTGGACTGTTTATTGAAAATGTGTTTTTAAGTTCTGCTTTAGTTTTTCCCGTCATTTTTGACGGGTAATAGTGAGTATGAGCGGAGGTAATGTCTTTTGCAAACAATTCCGCGTGTCTGTTTTATCTCAATAATTACAGCATGGTTCAAATATGTTATAAAGAACTTGCATGGAGATAGCTCCCACGTCTTATTGACCCAGATGTTCTTTGTAGGAATTCAATAGATGTATTTTCATTAATAATGTTAGGTCGGGCTTAACTTACCTCCTGAGCCTGTTCTTCCAGATCTCTGAGGGCCTGCAGCTGGTGTTTATCTTCAGGCACCAGTCGGAACACCTGGTGTCTGTCGTAGCGCACCTTGGCAGACACTAGCACAGCCAACAGCAGGCACAACCACCATTTCATCACCATCATATTTTATCCTGAAAGTTTAGTCGAAATTCGTTCAGTAGTTTTAGAGAAGGCTTGTGGACCAACGTACACGACATTCTCATTATGTCTTCATTTTATGCACATTTTGCAAATAACGCAAACAATTGTGTTATACATAATTAGGCCTATTTTATTACACATCTAGTCCCAAAGCTACTGAATAGACTTGATTAAAATTTATGACTGCGGTACTGAAGTTATTGGTCAGATAAATGAAATTAATTTAAACATTTACGACGCTATTGTGCACCAGTGTAACACAATTCATAATTATAGCTGTAACTCTACTTCTGTGCAATTAAATGTTAACTTCTGATTCGAAACATGAACAGATATCAACCAGGTACATCACAATTTGAAGGCCGGACGATGAAACATGGACAGTAATTTACGAGACGTACAAACTGCAGACTTACGCATAATGAAAATTATCGGAGATTTTCAGAACGTTACTTACCTCGAAATAATTTCGTAACATCGACACCAACAGTTTGAAACCACACTCTCTTATAAACTTCATTTACCCGTGTGTTCCAATTAGATTAGGCCCTTATCTTCTAGATACAATAGCACTCAAATTTCTGCTGAATAATAACAAGATTCTGTCACAGGTTAAGTTCAATTATATCTTGAGAGTTCTGATTTTAAGTGGCACATGCTCGCATTTTATAAGAGTAAAAACTAAATGTCATATTCACTACAATCTTTCTTTATCTCTCTATGTACTTTATAAATCTTTGTCAGATTTAGGGCCTAATGATTTTTGTAGTTTTAGTTGTTTTTGTCAACAAGTTAGAGAGATACTAACACTTGTTTATGTTGTGTTTAGAATTTCGAAGGCCCCAATTCAAAATCTGCCTTCATATTGTAGGGATTAGGCATTCAGAATAAATTACAAACTGTAGAGTTTTGTGGTTATGGTTCTTATATGTGTTAGCTGTATAAAACCATAGCACAAGTGATATTAAATTTTCAGCTCTTATAGATTTTTATAAGGCCAAAGTTTCGCCGGTGTATTGGCGATGTGTGCTCTATCGTGCTCCAGTCTCTTGTAAAGATGAAGGGATTGTGACCAGAATATGCAAAACATGTTGAGTTTATTGTAGGTCTGGCAGACTTGCATAAAGATCACGTAGTTTTGTATTAATTTTAGAACTCCATATCATTATCTCTAAAGCAGTATGTTCTGTAAATAAAACATTTGTGATATGTAATTACCTTTACTCTGAGACCAGCCAAGTTCTGAGCCATAGATGACCGAGGGTATGATAATGTGCTGCTTGTTCACAGTTGCCTTCTTCAGTAACTTACGAAGGCAGAATAATCAGTAACTGATCGATTACATAAAAATCCATACTGATGCTCTACAATAATTTAGTCTACATATAGATTTAATCTTGACAGAAGAATGTTGATTTATTATTATTTACTTGATAACAGCAATATTCTTCGATAAATAATTAATCATAAATACAGTATTAAATTTCTTCTACTGCTCTGGAAATTCATTCTTATTACAAATTAATTCGTTACTGAATATCAGAACATGAATTATTATTCCCAATATGGAATTTGATCAGTACCAAACGATTCATAAACTTTAAACTTTTCAATAGAATTTCAACCTCAGAAAAACTAGATTCTCTTGTTAATGACTTAGCCACATGTATTTACAGTGTAACTTTGTTCACTCCACGTAGGCTTACATTCAATATCTGGTAATATTAATTTTTCCACATATTCAAAATACTGTGGCAATCCGCTAGTAGATCACTATTTTCGTCTTAACCAATGGTGAACATAGGCGATGTAAGGAAACCATATTTTCTATTTGTATTGAATAACGAGACAAAATCTTGACAGAACAACACTTTATTCCTTGTAATTCTCAATATTGAGTCCAATTAGACTAATTTAAAATAAAACATCATACATAGGTTTCAATTGTTATGCCGTTATTTTGTTTGGGTACTCGAAAACTTAAAGGCAGTTATGTAGAGTCTCGGATGTTTTCCGTGTTTAGTTTGTGTGTTTATGCTCTGCACCCAAACAATGCAAAAGTATGTTAGTTACGTCGCAGGTTCTCCTTAGCGTGTTGCAGGATAACAACCGCGGAGTTTATGGTCTCTTCAGCGGTGTCGATAATTTGACTCGCGGGTAGCAGGAACCCGTAGTTGCCCGTGTCTCTGAGTTCCCAGGTGTAGGTGTAGGGTTTGTTGAAAACACCTCTAACCCAGTCCATGCTCACACCGCTAGTTGGGTCTGCATACACAAAACCAAGTCGTTGACTCTTTGCTTTCTCAAAGTGAGGAACAATGTTTCATAGCAACAAAAAACAACAACACCTGTTTTACTTAGACTGCATCAATATTACAGATGGAAAGGATGCTACTAGAGGACAAAGATTTCTATGCGCGTTTACGATTATGGGTCAATTTATATATGACGTAAGCATTTTGCCATGTTTTCTAACCCTTTTCCAATATAAGACAGTGAGCCGTAAGCAATGATCGAATTTTATCTCCCTCAGCTGCTTAAGTAAAAATTCTCTCAAGCACCCGGAAGAACGTCTTTGTCACGCTGGTGCCTGCAGGCATTCTGTTGGCGAATAATAACACTATAACAGCAAAGCCAGAAGTTTCAAACACCACCAATAACAAAGGCAGCCACTGGACACGATCCTGAGGCAGTCCCATCCAAATTTAGATTCACAGCCTATCTACCGTTATTTGAGATCCTGTGTCTGTTTCTCAGTCGTGTATATCGACGTTTTACAAGGCATTTCCTTGCCAAAATTTGGTATGCAATTCTTGTCTTCCCAATCGTAGCCGTGTACCCAGAGTTGAAAAATAACAAGTATTATGACAGACGTGATAAATGAGTTCTTTGAAATACGCAGATAGCGATTGATGTTGAAGCACGTTTAATTATAATATTAGCATTGGACGAGTAGCCTAAATATCTGTTAATTGCACGAGAGTACAGCAGTTGCATGTGCAATATATAATCAGCAAAACAAATGAAGTGTGTAAAATCGCAAAGAAATATTTTGAAAGTACGTGTTCTCCAGACTGGCGTACACCTTTACCATCTTATTTATATTGAGTGTGGGTCGAAATTGTTTGTGTTGAATGTCCTGTATTCCGTAGGCAACTAAAGTAAAGTTACAAACTTCGCTTATACTTGAGATGTGGGTCATTTTGACACGAGTCCAGTTAACTTTGGATGTTTGAGGCGACTTGCCTTGCTTATGCACGCATCTATTTCAGTTCAAATAAATTAAATTCATCGCTTTTTAAAGCCCCGTTCAAATACTGTATAATGTTCGAGACGGGTAATCCTCTAGCGAGCTATGTTTTCCATTATAGTATCATGTGTCCTTTGTAAGTGAACTGAATTTCTCACTTCGTAATTTCCGTTTCTGTCGTGACTGCAGCTGAAGCTGATACTTACAGATCGTGTCGTAGATGTTGCCCACAGTATACCGCGTGCCATTGTTCTTGGCCAGAGCAGTAGCAGCAGCCTGACCGACAACGAGCTAGAACATGAGCGATTTGAATGTTATGTTCATTGTATTGTAACCAACAACGGAAGAATACGCAGGTAAATCTGCTATACAAGTTTCTTAATCCTTCAGGGCAGAGTGGTAAATACGTGTACCAGCTGCTTTAACAGTCAGTGACTATGCGTTTTATATTTATGGGTTTCGTATGATTTTCATTGTAAATAGCTGTTATTTCCTTAGCAGAATCAGCCGAATTGTTGTAATTTAGAAACGTTGTGTTTTCTTCCCGGTACATACTGAACTTTTAAATATTATTTAGACTAGGTTACTAATTAGGAATCTCGTAATCTGTAGACCTAATATTTGCCTGTTAGGACGATCAATTCGAGGAGGATATAACGGTCGTGACATGTAGCACGCTAAGATCCAAGACCGCTTCCTTCTATATCCCTTGGAATTCAATATACGTTGTTGTTAGTTGTTATTTCTAGAATACGTATTTCCATTAGACCTGTCGTGTCTTACCAGTTCGTCATAGTTGGATAAGTGGGCGTTGTTGTGTCCGTAGGGAAACAGCAGCAGCTGGCTGTAGCTGTGGAAAGCGAGGTACACGTCAAACTGGTCCTGTATGCTTCTCAGGTAGTTGGACAGAACTCGGGTTTCGATTTCAGAGAACGGAGCGGATCCTGCATACGTCTCGGAACACGGCGAGCTGCTGGCACCGATCTCTGTAAAGAGTCATGACTTACAGCCTGTCTAGAAACACTAAACATTCACGAAGTGTTATCGAGGGAAGCAGACCTGCATAATTTTCGGTCTCCATGGCACCTGAAACGTTTGCAACAGAGCCTAAATTCCATCAAAACAATAGGCAAAATAAAATCAATTACTTATTTATTGTGACCAGCCTCTAACCAGTCTCTTATTTATTTACGTATTTGTTAGTCCTTCTAAGAAGTGCATAAACCATTTATATGGAGCACATTTTCCGTAGACAGTTTCAAGCACTTCGAGGTTATTTCCGAAGTACCTACGTGATTTTGAGGAAAAACAGTAGTCAAATGCATTTCCATTTTTCTTTACTTAAATAATGGGAAGTTTCAGAAGTCCTGTAGGCGCTCTTATTTATCGAAGTTAAAAATTCATTCTGAGTACATGAAAATGCATTTGAACATATCGAGAGCCAGAAGACTGGACTTTGTTTTTAAATGTTAGTATTTCAAGCATCTGTCACTATAATAAAGGCCAGAATTTCGTTATAAGTCTGAAAGGTTAGAATATTTAAGGTATTTTAGCAAATTAATCAGATAAATTATCCATGTCTAGGTTAGTAATGTTCAACAAATACATCGGTCGACAAGATTGGAGAGGTGTACTCCAGTGGAGTGTTGTATCGTGCGAATTATTTCTCCAGCGAAGTACTTCAGGACTGTAAGCAATGGATAGTCCTCGCTGTAGTTGTGGTACAATTGTTTGTGGTATAAACAACTGTCAAGAGTAATGAGGAGAAGAGTTTCGAATGACACAAAAGTGCATAGCCAGTTCTTATTATATGCCTACTAACAGCTCACTGTATTCGTTAATATCCAAACACAATGTATTTTTTTCCTCCAAATACCTCCCGTAATTTGTATATGCGCATCATAATTAGACACATTTATTTCTGTTACATTTTTTACTGGAAGCTATAATCGTGAATGAAATTAGTTTAATTCTTAACATGCAAAAAATTTTCTCATATTCGGTAGTTTTTTATTATAATTTTACTACTGATGTGTTTGTATTAATGATAAATTTAATCTTATAAAATTGTGATGCGCGTTATAGTCACAATTTGCATATTTTTGTATTTATTTATTTACCCAGCCAATGGAAGTCGAAGTTCCTGTTAGCGTCAGCACCAAAACAGCGGTTTCCACCTTGACTTCGAGTTTTTCTCCACATGCGTTCCTACAGCAAAGAAAATTAATACGATATCAATGTCATTATCTTAATAAGAAACACGATCTGATCTGCCTTTATGTAAATTTAATGTAGCAGCCTACAGATTTTTAGTGCCTGAAAGTAATCAATATATTGACTCAGTAGTTCGTGCCTTTGCCGTGTTTTTCAACTTAAATACAAAAGTTTCACTGTAGAATCTCCAAAATGTCGGTATACAACGAAAAGACTACATTGTGCAACAACCCAGAAGACCACCATCTCCACTTGCATGGCTGTGAGAACCAAAAACCCTTCAGGGCTCGTACGTAAAGGCTGCTTACCATGTATTCACTTGCTATATAAAAATTTCGTTGAGCATTCCCTAACCGAATTCCTGGTAATATTACTCCGAGCAAGTTAGCTCAAACAGCATCATCTTTGATTTAGCATTCAGGAGGTGAATGGTTCGTTCCAGATAAATGCCCGGATAACTTTCTTTCTTAGCTGAACCTGTACTTGATACAGTGTCGTTACATAAGAAACGTACCGTTGTGTGAGTGTACACGTAGCCATCCGGGTTGACGCTAGGGAAGACGTAATAGTCGAAAGACTGTGCTAGGTCCTTAATCACTGGGTCCTCACTTGTCAGCAGCTTGTTCAGGATGTACGTCACCGTGGCAGAAGAAATCCACTCTCGGGCGTGAATTCCTGCGCAGAGAACACATTTACATAGAATATAACATAGAACAGTTCCTATCGTCTCTCATATTAATTTATACACTTATAAGAGAACAGATTATGAAGCGGAGATAAACTTATGTCATGGTTCGTTGTGTTAGGATGCATACTGAAACTTTAAATGAATCACTTCTTCGACTTTAAGTGCTTTTGTTGAGATATGTAGATTTATTTATTCTCGTCATTTAAGGACTTTGTTTGAATAGCGGAGGTTAAAATGCAATGTAATCGACTTTTAATAATTCTGGGATTAATGTTAATTATTACATTATTTCGCATTATATGTTTAAGTTATTGGGTTAAATTCTGGTAAGTATCCATAAACGCAGTCACATGATTGTTATTAATTGTGCACTGGTAAATGATAACGGCTTTACTTACTTGGCTTACTTAAAGGTAATATTTCTGCATTGGTTTAGAGAGAGACTGAAGAAAGCCGAAATAACTGGCTCAAGTTAGTCTTCAGCCCGGTCGATTTGCCGACCTGGTACCTTTCGAATAGACGTCTAAAGTATTCCCATCAACCTGCTAGATGTAATTTGTGCAAAACACTGTAGGCTCTTGAATAGCTATAATATATAAGCCTAATTTGTACTTTAAATAAAGAGTTATTGAACATGGCTTCCGTCAGTTTCTTATCCGGTTAACGTGTTTTTCGAAAACAAAAATTATAGGCCTTGTATAATGAGAACACGTATCGAGGAGTTCGTCTGTTTTCTTGTTCATCTCTGTGAGTAAAAACATTTCTGAGGCATCTGGTATTACTGCTGGCAAATTTGTTTCGTATCTGTCTAATATTACAACCCCCTTACATGGTACTAAAACTGAAATTTACATTTTCTCAAAAACCGTGTATAGCACAAGTACTGATATTCCAGTATAACATAGATCCAAAACATAGGTTTCATTAAAATTTGTAACTTTTATTTTTAAAAAAGTTTCGTTTCTCGAAATAAAAGAACGGTTAATGACTGCACGTATTTTTGTAGATTTATAGTATCTCTACCGTTTATTTGCTTTGCATCGATAAATTTGTGTCTGGCATAATTTGTCACAGAGGACAACGAGATAAGCAGAAGTCGCTTTGAACACATCTGGAAGCGAAGTGTACTTCAAGCTAGCAGACTATACTTATTTCTGTCTGACCTCCTTCCAAGATGACTCCACGATTTCCTTCCTTGAAGGACACTTTCACCCCCGCTATCTGTCGACCCTCGTAAGATCTGCCCAAAGCAATCGGAGTCACTACCTCAGGGTAAGTTTCCACCAGGGAGTCAAGCCAGGCGTAGATCTGGAAGGAGAAGTTTATTTCTTAGTTTATCACAGGATTGATTAAGTGGAAGTGATCAATTAGATTGAAACAGCCCTTGAGATTTGAAGTTCTTATGGTGGTGAAGGTGTCAATTTGTTTTGACGCCGTGTAATCTTTTATGTGGTTACCAACGTTTCGGAGGAGCTTAAAGTTACGTGACTAAATACAGGAACTTGGAATTATTTTTCCAGGTAGCCTGTATGAAACAATTAACAGATATCTTGAGACAAAGTCATTGTGGAACGATAACAGAGAATGCAGATCGGAATAACTAAAATTTCGCAAATTCTATTAACATACCGTCAAATGTTTCCTTACCTACAAAATAAGTTCTTTTAATTAATACTGAACGTATTTTTAACAAAATGAATATCTTACAAACGTTCCTAGTAACGATTAAAACGAACTTGTATGTTCTGTTGATATTGCTGACAAAATCCGAGCAACGAGAACTTAAAAATATTTCGTGTTAATTTGATGCGGTGGTTTTACAAATTCAAACTCATGCATATAACACCCTAACCAGAGATTTTCTGCAGGGACGGCAAGGTCCTCAACAATAAGGGGCAACCGAAATTCACTATTTGATGTTCTGAGTAATTTCAGTCCACTTCAAATCCTCACTACAGGCTTCCGTATGATTTAATGAGTAACAGAACATCATATCTAAACCTCGTACTGCATGTGGTGTACTTCCGTGAGGTTTTCCTAAGTCTACTGCAGTTGCTCATAACAAACGTAATTTACAGTGAAGAGCTGTGATGTTTCTCTGACGTCACTAATATTACTTACCTCATCCAGAGTGTAGTAGTCTGTCCAACCGAAGTCAGCCGTCGGTCTCACTTCGGGACGCTCCGTATCGATGAGACTGAAACGCAAATGGGTTTAAATCCTGGCATGGCGGGAAGGAAATCAGACGAGGAATGATATTTTAGCTTCCAGGCCCATTTACTTCGTAAGACACAGGGGAAGGGAAACACAGAAGGATATTATAAAACTAAAAATAGGTAGTAGACTAAACTGCCACCTCCACGGCCACAAGTTGTCTTATTGTGGTATTGATGAACACTCCGGTATTTTAACAAGGAATTTTTGAACATTAGAGTGTCCACTGACTAAATACATATCTTATTTATTATTATTCTTCCACCTCTCTCTTCCTCTATTTATTTTATTTCAGACACTCAGTTAAATTAGTCCGTAAGTTTATTAGTTCGTTAGTCGCTTCACCGCTTGTCATATTTTTTTTTTCTGGTTTGAAAGAGACGTGTGAATTGGGAGGACAGTACTCTGCATAACATTTCAGTTACACGTTTTGTGGTGACGATCGAACTGCTACCAACAATGCCTGTTTGGATTTTCCATATTCTTTCTGCGATGCACCGTATGTAAGGAACTTGGTAGTTTATGCATCTGCAATAATTTTCCGACGTTCGTGTGCCTTATTTTTGAAACAAGAAATTATTTGTTCAAGGGACTAACTCATTAAAAGAAACATTTTTTATTACATTCTATGTCAATTAGATACGGACGCCTGAACCTATTCTTAGGAATGGAACAATTTTCTGGGGTTCTCTCTCCAAAAAGAACATTATTTTGTATGTAATATTTCTATGACACCCTGTTGTGTAATTTTTTTGATACCTCTGTGCCTAATTTTGGAAGTATTAAACAATCTATATTTTCACCAGGGTCTTCTCTTCAAGAGGAACGTTTTGTTTCGTTCATAATTTTTTTCTTATGTCAACGCATTTGGGAGAAACAGAATGGGACGAATGAACGAACGGATTTTTGCTAGTAGTCTATATATGGATAATATATTAATACAGTTATTTCATCAGAGTATAATTTCAAAGAGGATACTCGAGTGTCGAATAGTCCTCTCGCCGGCTTTTCCCAGGACGGATATCTTGAGTGTGATCTTATCTTTCGAAACATCTTAAAGACACTTCATACGGTTTACACACGTTACAAAGAAGCGATTTACATTGATAATATTATCGACAGTACTCTATGATAATATTGTTAATATTTCTATTGATATAATGATTAAAGGATTAGAACAGTTAGTCATGTCATATTACGTTTCTCAGATCTTGTAACAACGTGATTTTTTGGGTAGGGTCTTATCTTTTAAATTCTCACTCGATACCAATTTAGTTACGAGTAAACACTTTGGTGTTAAAATAATTGTATGTCACGAAGCTGCACATTTGTGACATTAAAATTAAAAGAAGAAAGACCTTTGTATATTTATTATAATACAGTTATTCTGGGTTATCTTCCGAAATTAAATATAATTTAGAGCAGAAATGGCATATCATATCTTATGCGTTCTTTGCACATAGTTTAAAAATTTATAGCAGGCTGGAGAGGTAGTGTTTGCATAACGGCATGTTTTACTCCGAAATTATTGTACGGATTTTTATTAAAATTTATATTGGTGTTTACAGGTATCGGGATGTTTTAATTTTGGTTTGTATTAGTCAAGTGTAATCCATGAAATTTATATCGTACGGATTTTTTTCAAAGCGGCACATCGTGCAAAACATTTGTAACGTAACGTAAATATAACTCGTTAAAAATGAAACTTTTATATTTAAAATATTTTTTGATTCTGTGAATATTTAACAAAATACAAGGGACAATAATTTCTGACCAGACCTATATGCAATGTAATGTGAAATACATATAACATTCAATGAGGTTGATAGGATGTAGCAATCAGAGGCTAAAACTATCGAAGACAGGCGAAGTAAATGTGTTTATCTTATTTTAGAGATATTCTGAGTAAGATGTCAGTTAGAATGATGAGAATATCATGAAGTAGATAAGTCTGTCAGTTAACCCCTTGCCACATTTTAATCATCAGGAAGTCGCCTTCAAGGTCATTGGAATATATAAAGTCGCAAACGGGGCGTTTCAAAAAACTGGGATGGCCTACTCAAAACTTGATGATGGAACAGGGGTATACAGAACAAAAGACACGAAAGGGAAAGGCGTGAATTTGGCCACTGTGTGGACTGAATATACTCACTGCTGCACGTTGCTGATGTAAACCTCAGATTTAAGGTTGAGGTTCTCTATAATTTCGTTGAATTGAGGCAACATATGGGGCGGCACCATGATGTCCACAGCCTTCTGAATTCTACTTGGGCCAACCCAGAAGCTCAGCTGAACATCGAAAGGTACGCATTAATTTGATATGAGACGGGCGGTAGTATTCAGATTTAAATAACTTCCTTTTTAAATTATCTTGTTAGAAGCGTTACAAAAATATGCAAATGTACTCTGGTTTATTTATATATTCGGACCTCTTTGCTTTTGTGCTTAGAAATTGAATAGTCGGTAAATGCAATCAAAGACATACGTGTGGCATAGTGTAAGACGAGTTTTTTAAGGAAAATCTTACCAGTTATTTGAATAAGTTTCGAACATTTCTAAATTCGCCCATTAGTTTTAAGTTCTTCCGAACTTGCACCCATTAGTAGGAAAATCCAAAGTACCTCTCAGGTTTCGATCTCTCGATGCGATAGACTAACACTATATTTGGTTTTGTTTTTAGGGCTAATTCACTTCAGAGTTAAGCTTTTGCATTTATGGTTTGAATACTTAGCAGATTCCGATTAAACTTGAAAAAGCACAGCGTGGACATATACTTAGATAATAACATTAGGAGAAATATACTGCCTCCGTATTGAGGGTAAAATATGGGGATAGTATATTTCACCGAAACTATGATATGTTCCTACAAGTCCGCCCGGCGTTACAACTCAGATGGCCAACATAGACATCTTTACTGTCATGAGAACTTAAAATTTCATGTTGATATATATAGTACTTTTGTTATTTGGTTATTACCGTGTGTGGTCCACGTTTAATTCATCTAAAGTCCACTTTATTTGTGAGAATTCTTGTACTTGTATGTGTGTCCGTGAGTTGGCATATTTTAAGCGAGCCCCGATATACAGCAACTCCATTATACGTGTACCAGGCCTATTTTTTTGTAAGTTTCATTATCTTTAAATCGTTTTAAGACCAATATCACTTAAGGGACTAAATGCATTTGCGAGATAAGTATACCTATCAAGTGTGGGCTATCGAAGGCATTGTGCTGCTGTCGCTGTGGCAAATATCTGATATCCCCTGAATTTATAACACATTATAGGCATATATAAGACATCATACTGTGTAAATCCGACTTTTTTAAATGTCGCCTTCAATAATTCATCTGCTCGCTCTCCTATTTGAAATAAACTTCGATTTTGTAACGACTCTGACGTGTTACTCATAAGAAAATTACATGCCGAGCAGAAATAAGAATAACGCACATATAAACAAACACGAAATTTACTTTAAGATTTTTAAAATGAGTTCTGGTGGTTTTATTTTAATACAGAATTAAACCAACTCACTCCATTTGGTTCATTCTCCAGCTCCTTCAGAACCTTCAGTTGCTCCTGATTTTCAGGCACCACACGGCGCACTTGATAGTTGTGGTAGGTGGCTCTGTCGGCAAACACAGCCGACACGAACAGAAGGTACAGGAACTTCCGCATTACCATAAAGGGCAGGTGGTCAGTCGGCTTCTGCGGTCACAAAGTCTAATTATATCCTAAACTGTGCCAAAATCACTTATGATATTGACAAGTCTAGTTTAGATACTGTCTAATGGATGAAACAGATTTTGCAGTCGATACCTTCTAAAGTCGATTGTGAGATCGTACTTTACATGAATACATTATGCTGGACATTTTCCATTATCTGATGAATATGGATCATGTTTCGAAAATAGGCTGTACACCCATTTTTAAGCGGTTCATTGTCATTAGACCACCAGAATGAAACAGCTGAATGCATTACCGAAACACGTTTATTTTAGATCTGCATCAAATATACCTCAGACAATGGACAATGCCAGACATAATATCATAGGCCTGTAATTAATTAACCATTTTGATAAATCTTTGCAGAATCATGAGATCAATAATACCTAAGCATGTATTAGGCCTGTCTTGTTACATAGCACTAATTAACTGACGTCTACATAGGATGTAACAGAGAAGAAACCTGTAAGGGCTACTTGAGGAGGAGCTTCATATTATCGGCGTTAGTAAATGGGTCATTCAGTCAGAGAAGTGTCTGATAACCGGCTGGACAACCGGAGTTAGCTCCTCAGTAGGAGAAGATTTTTATTCTAACCTGCATTCAGACTGGCTCTGACCTGGATGTGACGCTGACCACTCTCACTCTTCTTGTGCCAAGGTCAAGAAGGAGTAGGAGTTGTACCTCCCCCCAAACGCCTTTATGATGTGTGGTGGGACAGATTTGAATTAATATGCCAAGTAGTACGCTTATAAGCCCATCATATTTCAGCTGGAAATGGTTTATTTCACGTCTTCATCTATTATAACATTTCTCTAATTTTTTTAGTCCCTTTCGTGCCTTTGTGTACTTCGTAAGTACTTCTAAGTGCTACATAATAGTAGCAACACTAGTAAAACAGAACGTTCTGAGTTTACCGTAATTAGTAAAACTTGGTCACGCGTGCATGACAGGCATATATAGCCACAAACAGTATTTTGTTTTAAAGACGTAAACACACACACACACGGAGAGAGAGAGAAGGGGGGGGGGGGGGTATTTGCTCGGCTACAGAACTTTGATCCAATTTGGAGTTTCAGTACAAGAAATAAAAAGGCAGACTTACCTGAAAGAACACACTGATGTAACGCGCTGAAACAGATGTCCATCTTTTTATACCTGCATGCTAATGTCACAGCCGGGGCTGTCCAGCACAAGCACTTGAAAGGCTCCTTATCACTGACAGTGAAACTTATCGATTAGAATTACTGAAGTCAGGAAAGTTTTGTGATTTGCAATATTTATTACGCGTACGTGAATAAGTTACCCGTCGCTCTCTCTCTCTCTCTCCCTATATATATATATATATATATATATATATATACGTACACCTACCTACACTTTTAATAAACGAATTAACTTTTCCCATGTAGGCTTGTAGACCATATTGCCCAGTGATGAGCAAAGTTTATATAATTCAATGTATTTTATAAACAACCCTAAATATAAATTTTATTAAAATTTGTTGATCTGAAACGCTTTTGTTCCACGTGGACATGCAGTCATACATGTTGAAGACAGTAGGCGCCAATTCACTACTGTAAAGTTGTCCCATTACGTAAATACCACTTCATGGAGGGGTGTAAGTGTATGAAGGCAAAGCTACACGCTTTATAAAACTCGATAGAGATAGATTTGGCCGCTTTGTCCCCAAGAAAAGCTCTGTTACTTGTATGAGGCTGAGTGGGCCTCTCATCCGGTCTTTACACAGTGGTAAAAATTAGAAACAAAAAGAATGCCTTAAAATGACAAAATTCCGGTAACCGATCTGTTGAAATTTTGTTATGGTGTGGCTTGTTTCCTTGTATAATGCTTGGGAGCTTTTCGCGTTGCTGTGACTACTCTTCTAAATAAAAGAGTTTGTGTCAACAGGAAGAATTCTTTTTGGATAGGGGTAATGCTAGTGGCTGACTTTATGAAAGAACATAGTTTTCCTTTATATGCTGGTAGTTACTCAGCTGGTCTAGAATTTCCTTGCATTTCAATTTTGAACATTCGTGATTTACGGGATTAGAGGTTTTCATGGCAGTGAAGATTATGATGTTCTGGATCTTGGTGTCGTGTGTAGACTGGCCGGTAGAGGTCAAAGTTTCGGAGAATCATTCTGTCTCCGTCTCTATCTTCAACCCAAAAGACAGAGGCAGTATGTTCTCCAAATCTGTGGCGTGTATCGGTCAGTTTTCACGGTGCCAAACCATAGAAGAACATTATCATTCGCGATTTACGTTTATAGAGTGATGTCCTTGGCTTTCCTGATGTGTCCATTAATAAACTGTAGTCATATTTGGTCCCATCTGCTTTGATACCGTTTCCCCTTCGTGGAGATGTCATGTTTATCACTCACTTTCCTATGATTGAAAGTAAAAGGGCGCCAGTGTGAATGTAAGAAATTTATGTTAAAAGAAGTTCTATAGCCCAGTTCTGTGTGAGCCTCGATGAGTTTAACCACTAATTCAGAAACGGTGGGTGATTGATGATTGACTAAAAATGCTGTGTCACTGCTCTAAATGCGTGCCTCGTGGTTTTCTTTCGGTATCATTTGAATTTGTATTGAAAGCCTTATCTCTGATAAACTTTTTGAACTGAGAACCAGCAAATATGCACTCTTATGTTTTGTGTCACTGATAAGAGGAATTACCTAGCGTTTCAATCTAGTGGTTAGTACTTCTGCTTCGTATTCGAGAATTCCCAGGTTCGGACCTCGGCCCGAAGACTGATGTTTCTCGTGGTCTCTTTCATTCCCACCAAGTAGATTCGGGGACGGTGCCTCAAATTAGGATACGACCATTTCCATCCATATGTTCTCTAACTCACAGGTCATTAATCTTAACAATGAAGTGTCCAGAGGTAAAAATTATTACGTTCTACATTCAATTTCTAAAAAAAGATAGGTGATTGAAGAATTTGGTTTACTTTTCTTATTCTGCAGGAAGAGTCTGAGAAACACCCAGACTTACCACGGAAACAAAGTTTAGATTTGTTGAATAGTCTGTTAGAGTAAACCCTCGAGTTATCGGATTTCGGATTTATCGGACACCATCTGGTATTACCAAATTTGTTTCTGTACTTTGTCCGTTAGAACTTAAAATGTCCGCTAATGTCCCTTTGATATCTTTGCTCTTAATTATCTGTTTACACTGTAGTATTTTAATTAACGTTGTGTCATTACAATTGTTCAGTTCATATTCATAATCTGTTTAATGGTGTTCCTAATGAAAATTACGGTCTAGGGATGCATTACTGGCATCGTTAAAAAAACTTCAATTTAACAGATAATCACTATTACCGACGCCCCTGTCCCCTATTAGTCCGTAAATCGTGGTTTGCTGTATTTAGTGAGCAGTGAACCACACATTCATTATGTTGTTTTCTCTAGACACTTCTAATTTCCTTATTCTTGGGTGCAGATATTCTCCACAGTACTCACTTTATTCTCAAACATTCTCAATGTAGACCTGTATTTTGCATTTAGGATAAGAGGTCAAGGTTCATAACTACACGTCACAACGATTAACATTTTAGTTTTTTTATGTTTTAATGTTTACGTGTAGATCGAGACGAAATTCTTAGAATGGCTCTTAGAAATCTTAGAAAGTGTAAGATAGCATAATGACAATAACAAGAATTAAGCCAATGGGTACTACATTTTATTTGAGTGCTTAAGCGTAAATGTACAATACAGTTTGGCAATATGAAGCATTACGTATTCAGCAATCAGTGCACGATGTTCATGAACTTTACCCCGAGTGATTGAAGATTATTTATGCATTTTTACAGATCACAACCACACCATTTTGACGGACACACACACTACTTGCTTTTAACGTATACATTCTCAGCTTATATCGAAGGCATCATGTCAGATGGGCGTCAACAGAATGACTTATTTACAGGAGACACACATGCATTATTAGTGTTCATCCTCCAAAATTTAACTGTTTGTATATCTGTGTAGAACTGTATCAACGTTTCACCCTTCTGGCACGACATACGTCCTACTATTTCGTGTTGTCAGACCAAATATCTCCGATTATGCAAATATGCTTATACGACTTTCTGGCATGATGCCCTCGATGTACCTTGAAACCAGTTGCCACCATTATTATTTCGATATGAGAATTAGGATAAAGTAGTTATTTAGTGCTGTTGGCTTTATCGATCTTTCATTGTTTCTTGTTGACACGGAGATTGCTTTTCGCGTGTGACAGGATGACAACTGCTGAACTGAGGGTCTCCTCGGCAGTGTCGATAATTTGACTGGCAGGAAGCAAGAAGCCGTACCGTCCAGTGTCCCTCAACTCCCACACGTACGAGTAAGGGGTGTCTAGAACGCCACGCACCCAGTCGATGCTTCCACCACTGGCAGGGTCTGAAGAAGTAAACAAACAAGGTTCAAACCCGCGGAACACTTCCTGTTAAACATTCTTACTTTCTCTTTCACGTAGACCTACTACAGAGTCGGCTACTCTGACACTGAAACGAACTGGTTAGTGTGAACTTGTATTCGGAATGTACAAGGTTCAGATCTCAGCCGACTTGACGCCTGCCCCGTCGAATGTTTCTCGTGATTCTTCTAAGCCCCTAAAAGACGATTACATGGTACCTTAAACTAGGCCACGGTCACTATATTCTACCACGACTGATCATGTATCCGTCTCATCTGAAGCTATGATACCATTGCAGTTGGAACAATCTTGTTAAACTAACAGAACAAATACATTTCATGCCGGGAGTGAAAGATGCGCTGAGAAAGGATACCACTGCGTCCGTAGAAAGTTATTTCTGCAATGCAGTTTGTTTGTGTGCTCTAGGATAAGCATAACATTACGTTTACTTTTCATGCGGTTTTAAATATTTATTTATTAGTTTATTGAACGAGGATGATAGTGAATTGGAAAGGATGAGGAAGGAAGCTGTCGTGGCCTAATTTAAGGTAATATCCCGGAGGAACTGAGGAAAACCACTAATTCCTGTTACTTCGCCATTTTTCTGGATAGTGATAGCTACACGTTTATCCACAGCTTAGACAAAGACAGTATTCAAATGACTTACGCTCAGATGTTTTATATAAAATATTTTTCTCTTTTAAAGGTGATTTTAGTTGTCGCGCCTTTTAATATTTTGGCTGTGTGTCAATGTTTTAGAGGAACATACTGCATCCATCATCATAACTAAATTGAGAAGTGTTGGAAAGTGAATGGTTTATTTAGGGATGAGAGATGGATCAGGCCAAAGATTTGCGGATCAGAGCAATGGGATGAGAAAGTATGTTCATAGAAACGTTGGCACATAGTCAAAATACAACACAGCGCAACAACCCTTCAGATTATTTGTATTCATTCATATCGCTGTGAAGACTTCAAATATTAATTGAGTACGTATCTTCGGCAGAGGAAGAAACTTAAACTTGAATAACTGATTACTTTGATGATACTCACAAATTGCGTCATATATGGAGCCGACTTCGTACCGAGTTCCATTGTTTTTAGCTAGTGCTGCTGCTGCCTCTAAACCGAGAGGATACTGAAACCAAAATAATCACATTATCCGACTACTCGAAAATATCGACTTCTGGAGGAGTTACTCATACATGAAGCACAAAACTTCAGAATCGAGTCTGAAGGAAATAAAATAATCTTACTCAACATAAAAATTACGTTAAAACGTATTTCTTACCTTCTATAAACTGGTATAAATAGTTTTGAGGTAGGTATGACGACAATGGCAAATATTATGTAAATATCTTCATGTAAATGTTGTTTATGTGGCTGAAGCATACATTTCCCATGTGTTAAACATGTAGACTCTGCAAATAACATGCTACATAGGGAAGACTAACCTAAAATGACGTAGCTGGGTAACTTGATACATCTGTTGAAAAATGACGACGTTAATTTTTACTATATTTTGAACTACTTTATTCGAATATGTTTTTACTTCCTGTGCCTAATATTTTGTGAATCATGACAATTTAACACGTTCTGTAATCCTTAGTGGCATTTTGTTAAGGTAAATGTCTGAAATCATGTTCATATAAGCTAGAAAATAACCTGTTTATGGTCTTGTGTAATGTGTTTGTTAAAACTGTTGGATCTACGCTTAAATTAAAATTGAAATGGCCCTCTGATGTTTCCTAAAATTTATCCTTCCTGGGATTATTTAATGGGCACGGACAGACAGACTAGCCTATTTTAATAGACACTTTAGAAGGATTTCGAAACAGCCTAAAACAGCTCATTGTATAATACATTTATAAATTGTTTGTAAATAATGATGATGGCAAGAAAACGTAACTCACCAGCACGTCATAGTTGGATACGTGATCTTGACTGTGTCCATAGGGAAACATGAGCAGCTGACTGTAACTGTGAAAATCCAAGTATACAAGGAGAGTGTCCGAGATGCTCCTCAAGTAATTAGCCAGAGTTCTTGTTTCTATTTCGGAGAATGGAGACGCTCCTGCGTACGAGTCAGAACATGGCGAGCTGCTGGCTCCAGCCTCTGGTTCAGAAACACATGGTATGTGAAAAGCAACCGTTCACACTAAGGTTAGAGCAACATCACGGTTAAGTTTTCGTTATCTGAGAACAGTAGTTCTGTATAGATAATATGAAGTAGCATGGTGCCCGATCTAAGGATAAATTTTCTCGGTTTAGTCAGTGTCTAATATCAAAAATTATCTCGGCCTTCATGACCATGTTATGTTTACCCATCCAGTGGAAGTCCCAATTCCTATTCGGATCTGCACCATAGCAAGCGGAGTTTGACTGACTTCGGGTCTTTCTCCACGTGCGATCCTGTAACACACGATTAATCGATTTATTCAGGAAGACAAGAAAAACGGAAGAGGGGCGTAAGGAAGGTAAGAAAGGAATAAAGTGTGAAATATATAATGGGAAGAAGAACGAGAGAAATAAATAAAAGAGGAAAAAAGAAAGAAAGAGACAGAGAGAGAGAGAGAACCTGTTTCTGTTAGAATACTTCCCTTTGCAATGTGCCTTTAAACATCACGTTTAACTACACAGATACGTATATTCTTCTATTAACATCAACTAAATTCAGTCTACAAAAACGGGTGATTCTACGCGAGATTTCTTGTGCGTAGCATGCAAAGGGTAAACATTTATTCCGGTGTCGAGTTACAGTTTTACAACGTCCAGCCTCTGCCCTGATTTATAACCGATTATAGACAATTTTGTATGTAAACTGTTCGCTTGGTGGTAAAAACGCTGATTTAGTTTCATTTGAAAATAAATGATCGGCCACATACCGTTGTGTGAGTGTACACATAGCCGTCTGGGTTGGTGACAGGGAAGACGTAATAGTCGAAAGACTGTGCTAGGTCCTTAATCACTGGATCCTCACTTGTCAGCAGCTTGTTCAGGATGTACGTCGCCGTGGCAGAAGAAATCCACTCTCGGGCGTGAATTCCTGGACAACAGAATCATTTTGATAACATCACCCACCACCTAAGAAGTAAATTTACATTTTACATAGGCATCCCCAACATTCGGAAACCTTGCTACCGTTACATATTTTAACCCTTCCTCTGCCAAGCAAAAGATGTAGTCTATTTTGTGGTATGTCCAGCAAATTTCTGCCATGATCCAACTTGATCGGTATTTACAGGTTAGAAATCTGTTGTATATTTCTGAGTATGTTAAACGATAATACAACAATGTAGTGTAATACTGTTTCTTGTCTTGGCAAAGAGGTCTGTCTAAATGTTATTCTAATTCTTTTGTCTTTTCCGAAGCATATAACCTAATAATATTGTCGGATACAGAAACACACCTCCTTCTAAAGCGACACCAGGATTTCCTGTCTTGTAGGACACTTTTACACCCCGTATCTGTCGGCCCTCGTAGGATTCACCTCCAACAATTGGGGTCACGACCCCAGGGTACTTTTCTACCAGAGAATCCAACCAGGCGTATATCTGTAATGGCGGAAGATCATCGAAAGCGCAGTGATATCAGATATTATAAGTATCAAAATAGTTAAATTATCTATTTGTTCTGATAATTTGCATGTGTACAGTATACCTTGAAGTGGAGTTTTCCTCCTGTAATTTATTTTGGGTAGCTTATATAAGTAGAACCTGTCCTTCCTCGAATGTTACCATAGTTTGTATGAAATGTCTGTCAGATATTGATTGTGGTTTGTTTAACGTGTTAACGAGATAAGGGGACTTGGATTTTGTGCAGATTACATGGCAGAACTTACTTCATCCAGCGTGTAGTAGTCTGTCCAGCCAAAGTCAGCCCTCGGCCTCACCTTGGGACGCTCCGTATCGATGAGACTAAACGAACAAAACAATATTACAATTTAGTTTAAGTTAGTTTCTTATCCTTTGCCGGGTCAGAGGTTGTAATAAAGTACTGGCTGGTCAGAGCTGTCGTACTTCTCAGTTAAGCATGGAAAAGTATGTGAAATTCAAAGTCTACCTGCCCCATAGAGAAAATTAGTATAAAGTGATGACTGTTTTCAGTCGTACAAGCCCGTGTTAGGTTCCTACTTTCAGAGATCTACTCCAATTTTGTAAAATCTGCTGCTTTACGTACAAATGCCACATGTCGGTACGCGTTATCTGAGTATGTGTTACGATCAACCCTTCGTTTATCACAACAAAAATAGAAGTTGATATTCCGTCACTGGTAAAAGAACATTCTGCTCAGTGCTCTCACTAAAGCCTTTGACTTTAAAAGCATAAGATGTACGTTCTACTGGTTCAAATTGTAATTGTATCATATGCAAACTGTTAAAGTAGTGGCGTTCAAATAATTTGTGTAAGTTTGAGAGATACAAGCTGTTACAGGAACAAATTTAACATCATACAACTCTATAGTAGTTTGTGCACATTTAAATATAATTTATATTTCAGCATATGCAATGGTAATTTGTCGTTTCTGAAAAAGTGTTATTAAATGCAAAAATAATGACTGGCCCTTGGGGTCCAACAGGAAAACTGTTCTGTCCCGAGCGAGGAAAAAATTGGACCACCCTGATCTATATGAATGACTAACATGTAGGAAAGGCATACAGCGAACCAAGGAAGGAACCAACAAAATAGTTATGGCCCTGTTAAAATATTTTGTGACACGTAGGGTTCCGAAGCATTCTCTACATTCTACTTACTGCTGAACGTTGCTGATGTAGACCTCGGATTTGAGGCTGAGGCTTGCTAAAATTTCGTTGAATCGAGGTAGCATATGCGACGGCACCATGATGTCCACAGCCTTCTGAATTCGACTTGGGCCAACCCAAAAGCTCAGCTGAATTTTTAAGGTACACAGTGGTTAGGCGTGGCATTTTCTTGTAATTATGTGGTAGCAAGACTATTCATATTTAATTAATTTACCATTTTATTTATTAACGCTGTTTTAACTGTAGGAGTTGTGTCGTCGAATAAGATGGAAAGTGATCATGAACCGGTATCTAAATGTCGTATTGAAACCAAATAACAGATATAGCTATCTAGGCGTTGGCATTCTACGTATGAGGTCTCGGGTTCGAGATCACCTCGATTTATTGCACGTGATCTCTTTACCCTTCCGTTGCCTCTGACAACATTGGAATAAGTCTCACCGTGGTTCGGATCTCCAAATTAAGTTATAGATCCCCCACTGCCGGCATTCATCTGTACTACAATCGAGCACGAAATGCAAATCCTGCCACATGGTGCTTCCGTCTGAACTTTGAATTACTACTTTAGCACCTCTTGGGCAGGGAGATCCCCGTAGCCCATGGCCACATCTAGTGACATAAGCCACAGGGGAAATGAATTTAAATAATATGTAGCTTAGATGCGTCATGTTTGTGTTGAACTAAGTATGTATTTATTACTCCTGTCTACACACAAACCCAACTTTAAAATGTTGTTGTTAAAATTTATAGCGCTTTTCATCGTATTACGATGTTACATTTATTCGGCGCTTATTATTAACGACATGTTTCGATGCTATTATTGCATCATCCTCAGGTTTATATCGTCATTTATATCTTTAAAACTATTACATATTTCAATGCAACCATTTATTGATTTATTGTTTTGTTTTGTAGATTTTCATTTGTAGATTTTTCAGTCTTCGTAATGTTCATAGTCAGATGTTCATTTTCAAATTTGTGATGTGTGGTGTGTCCTACATCTGCTATCGGGTGATGACAATCTATGACTGTGAATTTAAATAAGTTGACTCGGTAAAACAGTTGCACTAAAGGGGCTAATTGTGTATACTACATTACAATAGTGTCATGTAGACTGATTAAGCTAATATTTATTTTCTTAAAGCAGCTAGTTTTATTTCTTATTCGTCCAACACCCTGTGCTCTTGTATGTCTAATAGTGGAGATTGTTCTGTGCAAATGAACAAAATAATGTGTAATGATGGGTATCTTCTATTTCTAAACACTTTGGTTCCATAAGTATCCTGGTATTTCATTAAAATACAGCCTCCATACATACACCATTTGGATCATCTTCCAGCTCCTTCAGAACCTTCAGTTGCTCCTGATTTTCAGGCACCACGCGGTGCACCTGATAGTTGTGGTAGGTGGCTCTGTCGGCAAACACAGCCGACACGAACAGAAGGCATAAGAACTTCAGTGTCACCATGGCAACTGGCGAGAAACAACACATTATATTGACACTTGAAAAAGACAGTACGACGTAAAACTCTGAATACCTCTGATGCCAATCACCCCAAGCAAATATTTAAATTACATTGAATCACTAAATAACTTATTAATTGAATCAGGTGCAGGAATATAGATACAAGCATCTACATAGGCATATAATAAATAAAGTCGCAGGTTCTGTGAAGACAAGAACTATATTTTGTTAATTAATTTTTAACAAAAAATAAATTTGCCTCTTCCAGAGAGTAGTCATTTCGTGCGTACAGACGGACGGACACGTCGAGGCTATAGATTATCTTGCTTTGTTGCCAAATCGACGTAACGTAATGGAAGAAATGTACATCCTGCAGTACTTGGCTAAGACGTTTAAGTGTTTAAAGATTATAACGATTCCAGTAAAATTGTGTTAGCTGTGGAAGAAACCTCTAAAAGCTCTCGAATTTCATCTGTGTTTAAAAATGCATGTTTTCACCTTAGGCTGAATAAATCGAGGGAAAATTTGCACTTACCTGATGAAACAAACTACAGTAACACGTAGATCTAAATCGGTCTCCTTCTTATAGACGTCGTGACCACTTGAAATGTTCTTCGCAGATTATTTTGTACTTCGAACTCTCAAGTATCCAGTTATCAACCAGGTCGACCTAACAACTACTTTAAATGTGGTCTCACTGACACGGAGTATCCAATTAATCCAGATAAGATTCTGTTGTCATATAGGGCTCACATACACACAATGAAACAAAAACAGAGATTAGAGGATAGGTGCAGGCCTCCTTCAGTCCAATCTGGAGTATACATATCTTAAAAATATGTTAATTGTAATATATTAATTTGTTATTGGTTTTTATTCTCATTTATTGCATATACAGATCTAACAGAACTTCTGATATCATTTTGAGAAATATGCGTAATAACCATATTTAAACATGTTTCAAATAAAATATAAAGATCTTAATAAGATATAATATGTTATATAATAGTTTCATAAGATAAGCCGGTGTTCAGAAGTCCGACACAAATCAACACAAGATTCTTGTTAATCAGCTGTTATGGTGGACAGGCCTCTTCTGGGAAAGTATTCGAAATAGACCAAGATTGTCTCCTTTCAAATTCTGTTGTAGGCTACATATTCTCGTATCATAAATACTGTCTTCAGTTGTAGCTGCGACGTTAAATAAACTAAGAATCTGTAAACATTCATAATCTTAACCCTTTGAAGCCAAAGCCTGCCTTAATGTTTAAAAGTTCAGATCATACTTTAAAAAAACACACACACACAACGCGACTTATTTACATAGAACAATTTATTATGATTGTTCACAGGAAATAATCCTTGTTTATTCTGAGAATCATAAGAAACCCATAAATACAATTTGTGAGGAAAAAGCAATATTGCTGGCTGATAAAGCAGCTAATGCATACGCCTCTAGTTACCACTGGGTTTTAAAGGTTTAACTAGGGTCGATCAATTCGAAAGTTACCGCTGACCGAAGAATCTCGCGCGAGAATTTAATATGTAAACTGCCAGTAATTCGCACTGGCTGAATATACTTCATATTGTAGATATGGTAATAAATTCAGACAACACGTTCTAAACTGTAATTACTATTCTCAAGTTCTTATGACGATCGTAAAACCAAAAATACAATGGGTCCCAATTGGTTTTCTCATACGCAGTGGTAGACAGTGCTATAATGAAAATCTTAATTTTGCATATATTTTTAATGGTTATTTTAAATAATTTGTTTATGCTAAGAAAATGGTCCACAGTGGCCGCGCTGTCTGAGGCGTGGGCCTTGTGCCGCTTGGTCGCTGGCACCGTGGGTGTTTGTCCGCGTTTTTCGTTGTTTTGCTGTCCTGTGTACAGGTAGAGGCCTTGCGACGGGCCGATCCCTCGTCCAAGGAGTCCTACCGAATGTCTATAGATCAAGCCAACGAAAAGTTGGGACCCGCAGTGCTCAGGCACTTGAAGAACGGTTCGTTCCCAGTATCCTAGTAGTATCCCCAGTATGTTAAGAAAAAGCTAATGTTGCATGTTGCATTAGATTGCTTTTCAGCACCTCAGCCTAAGTGTTAATATACATTTCACATGAACAACGAATCATATTTATCAGTTAATTAAAGTACAGAAGAAATGTATGAAACTTTGACCAACCAGACCTAAAATTTCTTTATCAGGATGGCTTGCATGAGCAGACATAGATAAGAAACGCGCGCTACCCTTACATATGTTTTTATAAGGTAGTGATAGGAATATAGAAAAATGCAGACACAATAAGACACTCAGGCACTTTTAATAAACTTGTTTTCTTCATCTTCTTCTTCCGTTTCTTGACCGTTACTTCGGTCTTCCGGTGCCTAATGTTTTCTTCCATTCTTCTCTATTCTTGTTTTCAAACTCTCCAGTATCTGTTCAATAACCTTACTAGTTATCTTTGTATATGCCGTAGAACTAATCGGAAATGTATGACGATTTCAGTGCCACAACTGACGTTTCCTGACCGATACAATCGTAGTATGTTAGAAATAATCATGTTTCTCTTTCTTTCGATATTAAATTAAACAGAAATACGACAGTATAAAACTTCTTACACAAAAATATGCGTGGTGCCCATTTTCGAGTTATCTTTCCTGGACGTGGTGTATGGATGTATGGTAATAAGGGATTTCATTTAGCAGCATTTGACCGACATTTACAGTGTTTTCCGTCGAAGACTTGTTGGTCTTTTTGCTGGTGGAAGGTGGAGACCTCGTGCGTACAAATACAATACCATTTGCAGATCGGAGCAGTAAAGTCGTGTGTGTGTGAGTGAGAGAGTGAGTTTGAGATTAGATGTATGTGTAATCAATGTCCACATGTTCGTTGCAGGTTTGGTGTATTATTTAGGTTATGTAGTTTATTTTTCAGGTGTGGTCATTGAAGTGTGTGGTTTTCCTTTTAATAACCTGTTATACAGACAACAGCCTCAAAGAATTTTGTAATAATATATGAATGAATAATGGGGCGTCACAACAACCAACTTCCAGATAACTTGCCGCAGCTTCAGAATTTGATCAAGCGGGATCCTGCTTCATACAAAGAAGAAGTGAGATATCTGTACATTTAAACAGCAATAGTATGAAACCTGAGCTATATAAGATAAAATTGTTTTCGTACATTTGGGATAGTCTATGATTTAACTACAATATATACGCACAAGAATTTGCCTGCAACCCTACAATCTTGAAAGGAAATATTTTACTTTTTTTCTCTTTATGATGCCATTATCAATACAAAAGTTTAGACATTTTTATTTGTTTCTATTGGCAGATACTTGTATGATGACTTATAAGAGGCTGCAAACTTTCTATTTCTTACCAGTTTCCATTTATTGTCATAACTACCATAGCCTTCAACAATCTTACAGATGATGCATTGTTTGTGCCATTATTATACTCCATTTCCTTAAGTTTTGTATGTTGCAACAGTTCTTGCTACAGCAACTCACCATGTTTATAATCCTAGAGTAGTGGTAATAAAAGTTTAAGTTTTGTTTCAACTTGACACTGTGTAAGATGGAATATCCTTGGACCTGATCATCAGAATTTTTGCTGGTGATGACATTATAAACTGAGGTCATTCTTGATGCTACCTTTGTGACTGTAGACAGCATATTGACTTAATTTCTTCATGCTTGACAGTTCCTGCAGCAATACCGACATTACCAGTCCATACTAGATGTATTTCGCCTTCATCCTAGTGAATTCAACAAGAGTCTTGATGATCTGGTTATGTTCATAGCTCAGGTAAGAACATTTTATTCAGTATGTGCCTTGCATTGACCTGCATAGATGGGTTCATTTAGCAAATAGTTTAAGAGATGAAGTAAAATGGCTCTATCTGTACTAACAAGTTAGGTTTATCATCATGGTATTGAAACTTAGAGAACAGTTTTATTAGTCTGTTTATATATAGCTGTTAAAATATATTGAAGTAAAATTTTTCTGTTGTTTCCTATGGGCATGAAATATTGTGTTTTACCTGAGTGGAAGAATGTAGATTGAATGTGTTTGAAAACACAGAACTGAGACTATTTAGACATAAGAGAGAGGAAGTAACAGTAGGATGGAGAATATTGAGTGGTTTGATTCATTTCTTTATTATTAATGTGATGCATCAACAGCCTGGGGGCCAGTTGTAGCTGCAGCCTGCAGTACAAGAGAAAAACAAAATAATATACAACAGTCAAATTACTTGATGAAAACTGTCAACAATTGGGATGGTATGAAGTATACTAAAATCACCTGGCAGCTGGATAGATATGGTTATGTTCTGACATATTTAAAAAATGTCTCAAAACCATGGACAAATTTAAAATAGAAGTTTATGATTGTAGTGATGTACCATGGTATCCATATGTGATTTATTTGGATAGAGAGATTCTTATATCTGCGGATGAATCTAAACATAATATATGAAAGTCACCAAATTAAACACAGATACCTCACTATTATGTTGGGGTGAACACCTTCATTTCCTATAACTTGTTCCTAGAGTTATATAAGATATATATGCCTTCATGATCCAAAGGTTGATATAATTATTATTTTCAGGTTTCACATTGTTATCCAGATGTTTTGTCAAACTACCCTCAGCAGCTGATTGATATCTTACAAACGCATCACTGCATACTGGACAGTGCAATGCGTATGGTGAGTTATTTCATTTCTCTCTTTTTTAATGGTTAATTCATGATACTGCCTATTGCTGAATCTTAAAATTATATGTAAGCAATCTTTTCAATAAGTTTGTAATAAGCTGTGCTGCATTTATATCATTGTTTATTGTTATAAATTGTTTCTAACATTTCACCTGCAAGATAGTAGTGCCCTTCTCTTTTGCAGACTCTGTGTCGAGCCTTGATATTGCTGCGTAACAAAAATCTGCTGACACCAACAGACCTGTTATCACTATTCTTTCATCTGCTTCGATGCCAGGACAAGGCATTGCGCAAGTTCTTGGAGACACATATCATCACTGATATTAAGAACATGAATACAAAGCACAAGAATGCCCGTTTGAACACGGTAATGATATTGCATTTGTTTAAATAACAAAATTCAAACATCTCTAATTCTAAAGGAGTAATCTGATTAAGGATGCATATTGCTAAATGTTTTGTAAACAGCAGCAAATGATTGTGATGCAAAGTGATGTTCAAGAATAAACACATTCTGGTCATGAATACAATATGTTCATACCTGTCCAACTGGTGGCCTAGTTACCAGGGTGACATTGACTTGACTGTCACAGGGGAGGTTGGTAGAGTCTGTTACCTGCTTTAATTTTTGTACGATAGTACTTTTTTTTAAATGATACACCATGGAATTTATTATACCATGTTAAGCGGGTCCATTGTCGCCACTCAGTTGTGTATCTTGAGATTGTGAATGGAAGAGGTTACCTACAAATATGAGCCAAGAAAAGCTATGAATGGTTATACCAATGTAAGAGTGTTCTTTAGTTTAAACCTTTAAAATCCAATGGTAATTACATGTCACACCCTCAATAATCAATAATTGTTCATTTTGTGTTACGGTTTTTTTATGTTTCTCACTGGGGATTACTTTGTTAAACAGCTTTAACAAGTCAGTCGTTAGAATGGTGAAAAGAAAAGTTGTGTTTTCTTTGGAGTATAGACTGAATCATTATATATTATTTAGACAAATTTTGGCTTCAAAAACTAGAATTCCAGACATATTGTAATTGTATTAAATTTTATCTAAAGGAAAGTTTCATGCAGAGATTGTGTAGGCACAATAATATTTTACTTGTGAACCAGTGAACTATCCAGTATTCCAGTGTACATTGGGTGCTGCTCTGTTATTGAATATGTCAAGCCAAGAACACAATATATTTTAGCCCATATTTTTGTAAAAAACTGTATACTGGATGATAATTTAAAATTTTCTTATTTTCAGACATTGCAGAACTTCATGTTCAGTATGTTGAAAGACAGCAACTCCAAGGCAGCAAAAATGTCTGTTGTATGTATACAGTTGTTTCTTGCTTTTGTATTTGTTGATATAAAAATATACTGTTGTGAAAATTTTAGTGATGAGTTTTTAGTATTGGGTCTGTTTAATCACTTTAGATTTGCATGTGTTAATTCTCTGTTCCAATAGTGTTTTATGATGAATGTGTAGTGATTAATTTCCAGACATGAACCAGAGGCATTTGTTTGAAGGGTTAGAATACATTGGATCAATGTGACATTCAGTGAAGTTTATACTGCACACTAAGCAAGATATAGTAATATATTGTCTCATCTTTCCTATAGAATTCCCTTGCCAAAATGAAAATTGGGGAAAATATAAACAAAATCTTGTACATTATATTGTCTTAATCCTATATTTGCATAACATTTTAGCATGTTTTGTAGTGCAGTTACTTTGTGACTGCACAGGCATATAAACAAGTTTCTGTTTTTGTTGCATTGGACGAGTCCACACATTTCAGCAGTGGACTAAGGAGGTGGTAGTGCTGGAGAGGCTTTGTTCTGCATTTATGTGGCTTTTAGGGCTACTCTCCAATCTTCTGTTTCCTCTTTACTTTGCCTCCTTCACAGAGTTGTGCTACCAGATAGTAATTGGAGTCTAACATTATTTGTCTTCTTGCAATAACAACCTAACCAGTTATTGCTGTGAAATTTCTGGGCCATTATGGATTTGGTACATATCAATGCCTCATTTATTTATCTTCTCCATCATTCTAGTGTTTTTAATCTCTCAGTATTGCATTCATGTTTCCTGTTGTATTTTCTCACATTGTGTGTACTGATATTAATGGATTAGGATATTCTGTCCCATCCTCATTATATTCTAAATTGTTGCTGTGTTATTTCTGTCTGATTGTGTTGCTTGAAGAACACTTAGTAGGCACAAAAAAAATCATGTTCAATGGCTGGGTGAAAAATGCTGTCTGGAAGTTGTGTTGACATGAACTGAAAGATTTCTTCTGAAACCTTTGAACAAGTATAGAGGGCGAGTACCTCAGAAATGACTTTTAGTCTTGCAATTCTATTGATTGATTACAGTAATATTACAAAATTTGTGTCACATTTGAATACTTCTCACACAAGACTATGTTTTAAAAGTAGATGTTAGTTAAATCACATGATAGAAGTATTCTTACTGCCACATACTTTGTATCACACTGAGATAAATGTCAATCTTTTAGTGCATTTACATTCCAAATTGTCAGTAACACATTTTACAAGCCTTCGTTTAATACCCAGACCCCATTGATATTTGATAACATTACTGTAATGATTATTTTAGATTTGTTTGTGTTTTTTCAGGCCATAATGATTGAGCTATACAAAAAGAATATTTGGAATGATGCAAAAACTGTAAATGTGATTGCCACTGCCTGCTTTTCAAGATTTACAAAGGTCAGTTATGAACTTAGTTTTGTAAAAGTCAAATTGATATCTGTCGAGAAAAACAATTTGAAGATATCTGAAAACACCAAAATGGTTTTCTGTCCATCATGCCCTGTATCTTGTGAATGGTACATCTTCAAAAAGACCGAATGGAACAAAAATATCACTTTTTTTATTCCCACCATCAACTCATAGACACCATCAAAAGTAAGATGCACACCAATTTCAGAAATTTTAAAATGCGAAATAAAGTGTCTTAAAATAAAGTAAATATGATATTACAATCACAGAGGCCACTGGGACAAAACTGGTAATGCATTTGTCTTCTAAATGGCTGATTGAACAAAAAGTAAATTGTAAAGAGCAAAATACTTCTCATGAAATGATGAACTACTTGTGCCCAAGACTGGGAAGACATAGGTTTTCTCCTGACTGATGGTTCTTGTATCTCCCAAACTTTCCCATGGATTTGGCCTAAAGATGAAAAATGCCGAGATGAGGTGAACGTAACTTTATATAATATTTCTTTACATTAAAGCTCAGTACAATATGTCAGTTCATGGACTCTTTTAATTCAAATTAAAGAGTGAAGAGAAGAAATTAGACAATGAGTGTATCATGTTTGGCATTTCATTGAGGGGGTGGGGTAATTTAATCCTCATGGTGAATTTCCAGTTAGGCAAATTGGTACATTGAACAAAATACAGCAAAATACTTTTATAACGAAGTCCGTCCAAACCAAAAAATGAAGTACCAAACTCATAGAGCACAGTTTTATTTATTTCTGCACAATTTTAGAATGAAGTTTATGAACATAAATAATGATTAAATTAAATTGTTAGTTACACTTTCTTAGGTAATATAACAAGTGATGATGGGCTGGTCTTTTATTGTGTAAGATTTGAGGTTTTCACAGCAGTGAGTATGAAGATTTCTGTCTTCTGGGTTGTTGCGCTGTGTATTCATATTCATCGCCCTGATGATGGAGGTAGTATGACCTCTGAAACGTTGGTAAACATCGACCAGACTACACAGCGCAACAACCCAGAAGACAAAAATATTCAGGTCTTTTATTCTCTTCCCCTTACACATAGTTTTATTTTGCAGGTGATGGTTGCAGCCCTGAAATTCTTCCTTGGATCTGACCCTGAAAATGAGAAGAATTCTGATGACAGTGACTCTGATGTATATTTCTTAACATACTAATACCTAAGTTTCAGTTCATATGCCAGTTGCCTGACAGTGTGTTGAGTAGCAAATTTTTTAATTGAAGTTAAAGTGTGCCACAGCACAGGTAGTTAGTGCTAGCTTCTCAGTGCAGATTGCTGGGTTTATTCCCAGGACCGTCCATGTGGGATTTGTGGTGCAGAGTCCTTCTGTATTGCTGTGTTAGTATAATTCCACCGCTGCTTCATATCCACTCACGTGTTATCTGAGAGATGGACAGTGACATTTCATGCCGCACAGATCACAGGAACCAGTGTTTCTGTCTTCAGTGCACTAAACAAAATTCTGTAAATATCTACATCATTATAAAAAGTTTACCCAAAGAATATTAAATAGAAATAGGATAAAGTTGGCAAGATATTATTTGTAGGAAAAATAAGTACACAAGTGTAACTGTGTGTGGTAAGCAACACCATAATTTTCGAACACTTTACTGAACTCAGAATTCATTTTGAAGCAGTTTGGCAGATGGCCTGCTGTCCAGGGATCTGTTATGTTTGAGAAAACAAGGCTGTAATATATGTCTTAAATAATAAATAATATCAGTGTAATGATAATATCTCGTAAATCCATGTTTTATTCCAGTGTCCTAATAAAGCTTCTGTTTTTCTTCCAAGAATGAGCCGTCAACAAAGGAAGTACTAATGGCTAACAGAGTTAATAAGAAGACACGTAAAAGAGAAAAACAGCTGAAGAAAGTGAAGCAGCTTGTAAAAGTAAGAGACCCAAAAGTTTAAGAAACATTTCATGTAATGAATGCTAAGTTTATGAAGTTGTAAATTTACATTGACTGAAATAATAATTCAGTATGGTTTGAAGAATCATCTGATTAGAAGCTGTTAAGACTCCCCACCAGGGGGATACATTATGTATACACATCTGTGTTGTAGGTAATTAGAAGAACATTGACACAGAGTGAAAACATTTGGTGGAAATTGATGTGCAGTTTTAATATTAACTACCTTGTATGAGGATGTTTATCACTGTCATTTTATTACCTCTGCTGTTCCCAAGTTAAATATCAAATTAAAATGAGGATTAATGAAACATAATATTAGGCTTTATTAATTTTTTTTTTATTTCAGAAAAAGCAAAAGAAAAAAGGTTCTGCTCCTGCTTTCAATTTTTCAGCTTTACATTTGGTTCATGACCCTCAAGGTATGTTTTTCTTTCTTTATGATAGTAAAAATATAGATTATAAATTTATAATTAATACAACTTACTGATCTAACACATGTCCACTGACAAATAATTCCACTGCTTCAGACTTTCATACGAGGTGCGATCGGAAAGTTTCAAGACTGTGCCAATAGAGGGCGAACTGGATGTAGTACGAGCTTCTGCCGCTAGGCGGTGCGGCCTACATTCATAGTGAATCAGTGTGCCAGCCGGCATCATCGAATTAGCATTTGTTTCTTAGTTACGGGCATTTTGGTAGTGCATTACACCGACCCTCCTGCGATTTTGGAATGGCGGATTTTCATGAACAAAGAGTGTTCATCAAATTTTGCCAAAGACTCGCCAAAACGGCTACGGAAACCTATGAAATGCTAAAGCAAGCATTTGGGGAGTCCGCAATGGGTCGTGCACAAACTTTTGTGTGGCATTCACGTTTTAAAAATGGCCGAACCTCTGGCG